AGGAAAAAAAGGTGAACACTAATAATTGGTTTCTATAATAATAATAATAGTAAAAAGTGAAATACAAACTTTTGATTGGATAACCATTACCACTAAATTCCGAGAGAAAGCAAAGGTGTAGTGTGAGACGAAGGACATAGAGCTTTATCATCTTCTGATTTTGAGTCTACAAATTATGACAGTAGGGAGGTAAAAATGTATAAAGTGGGGAGAAAAAATGACATTACAAAAGACTCAAAGATCAATATTATAAACATGCATACTTGTTAAGCTTTTCTTCAATTATGTGGTAGTATGAAATAAACTTTACGACATATGTACTCTACACGATGTTAGGATAAAAATATAGTCAACATTTCCTAAAACTGGTTTATCACACGAATACACAGAAGTTTAAATTTGGTGGAATTCCATGTATACAGGAAGAAAGATATTCAAAGAGTGTATTTAGAAATAAAAAACTTCAAAATCAGTTTACAGACTTAATAAAAAAAGAATCGACCAATCTAAGGTAATCGATTTGTGCGTCGGTGGCACAGTGGTAAAATGCTCGCCAACCACGCATATGGTTAAGGGTTCAATCTCCGGCCACAGACGCACTCCTTTACCTCTCGCTAAGCCAGTAAATACCGGTAAAGACGGAAGGCAGGGTATGAGGCTGGCAACTTCGTCCCGTAAAATTAAATATGACTGCTACTGAAACTGCAAGCCTCTAGCTTGAAGCTCTATGATCCACTGGGAACGTAAAGGCATAAAATAATAATAATAACAAATAAAATAATAAAGAAATCGATTTGCATGTGCACATAACTGACAGAGAAGATAAAACAGATTTTTTTGCAAAGAAAATCGTGTTGTAGAAGGGTCCCCATTTTTAGCAATGAAAAGTAATTTGGATCACTGCTCAGAGATACAGATTAGACTGAACAGTTATTTTTTTGTGATAACCAATGCAATATGAGTCTATGTTTCACAACATTTTATTGAATATGTAATACTAACAAGTGACTGACTTATTATATAGAGACTTACAGCTGTACGGCAACGGCACATGTCAAGTGTTCCACAACGGAAAACTCAGCGAGGCGTTTGGAGTAAACACAGGAGTCAGACAAGGGTGCTCCTTATCACCAATGATATTCCTAATTGTGGTGGACTGGATCATGTGTCAGACAGTGGGAAACGAGAAGACAGGGATATCCTGGACCGACGTGAAGAACCTAGAAGACCTGGATTTCGCGCGTGGATGATTTATGTTTGATGTCACACAAAATCGAAAACTTACAAGCGAAAACCGACAAACTGGTCGAAGAAGCAGCAAAGACAGGACTGACTCCAGGTGAACATAGACAAGACGGAGGTCATGAAAATACCCAACCAACAGCAACATCCAGCGCCAATCACCATCAACGGGAGGGATTTGAAAGAGGTTGCTTCATTCACTTATCTAGGGAGCATTGTCTCAACTACAGGAGGAACCGACGAGGATGTGAAATCGAGAATCGGGAAGGCGAGAAACACATTCATCAACCTGAAACCAATCTGGAAATCTTCGTCACTCAACTCAGCATCAACAGCAAAATTCGGATTTTCAATACAAACGACGTCAAGTCAGTTCTTCTATACGGATCAGAAACTTGGCCAGTGGGTCACAAAGAATATTTCCAACAGCCTGTTGCAGACCTTTATCAACAACTGTCTTCGTTCTATACTGAAGATCAGATGGCCGGAAAGAATCACCAACAAGAAACTATGGGAACAAACAAAACAAGAACCAATCACCCAACACATATGCAGGAGAAAGTGGAGATGGATTGGACACTCGCTGAGCTGAGGAGGCCGTTGAGTGACATCGCGCGTCAGGCCATCGCTCGACTGGAACCCGAAAGGGTAGCGGCGGCGAGTGGGACGTTCAAGGGTGACATGGAGGAGATCGTGTGAAGAGGAGTTGAAACAGTATGGACTAACATGGATGCAGGTGAAAAGTACAGCAGAAGACAGAAGCAAGTGGAGACGTGTAGTTGAAGCCCTATGTTCCACTGGGAACCCAAGGGAACAATAATAATAATACAGAGATGGCAATGGAAGTTGGCTGTAACTCTGTTGAAGATTGTGAGTGTCTATATTGGTTGTGTAAAACATGAGGTTACAGGCTCTACATACTGTCCATATATGAGTTGATAGAGATGTATCTCATTGGCACTCATTAAGCACTCGACTTCTAGCCAATGTGTGCCGGGTTCAAACCTCGATCCACTAAATTCAGCCTAGACGGCTGGTTAGTATCTTCAGTCCTCATAGAATTAGTGTGACTTATATCTCCAACACCGATTAGCCGAGTTCTTACCCAATCAACCACATAGGGGTTGAATAAATATAATAAGGCTTTACTCTGGACAAAATGTTTACACAATGCACAGAACTCGCGGCTAATTTACAGCATATTATTTTCTCTGCATCCAGGATCTTTGAATAAAATAGTAACCTATAGTATGTCATGTGACGAAATGCTGTTCGATCTGAAGTACAGACTAATTCTTCATGATATTTTTCCTTCGTCTTCTAAAAATACATACCGGTAGTTTGAAGACCAATTAAAAATGTGCATTAGTACATTTTGCGATACCAGCATCATAAACGAATGGTTAAAACAATAAGAATTAGAGAAAATATGACGAGACTGTGGTGGATGGAAATACAGGTAGCCCAGTGATTCAAACAGGCCACCACCAGACATAAACAAACAAAACATTGATTTTTTTAAACTCTGATATAAAGCATTGTTATTTCAGTATGACCCATTTTCGCAACACAGTCAAGCAGAGAACGCAGCACTACTTGCTGAAATGCAGTGAGTAACAGAATACAAAAGGAAGGAAGTTATCTATGTAGTGCAAAGAATTTGGCGAATACGATCAAAACACAACTTTAGACATCATATGAAGTTACTAAACCTTGATAAAGTGTATAAAGTAGTGGGACATAAAACAAATGGAAACATGACTGAAACGGCGAGAATAAAGTAATAGGAACAAGTGGATATTTGATAACTGACAAGATGACTTCTGTGTCACCTTAAGAGATTTTAAAGCACAATATCAAACATCACTGACTACTCATTCTTATCATCATCTCTCGAACCCCATTCAGCCATGAGACGTGTGTCTCTATGAGGTTCAGAACAACAGTTGATGTCTTCTTCCATGAGCGCCGGAATCCAGTCTAGCTAACACAAATTCTTTCCCAACCGAATTCTTCAAATAATTCTAATGTGTTAGGAAAGAGATGATTCGGTACACACCTAGCCCATATCCTTATTACCCCGATCAAGAAAACATAACCACATGAATTGGCTTCCCCACTTAACTGACACTACTTATTACTAACGGTCATGTTTAACCTGACGCAGGATACCATGGTGAGGCGTCTACAATCAAAGACTGTTAATCTTCCCATATCTTCAACCTTCAGCGACTATGTCTCACAGACGTAAATATGTTCTGAGTTGAATGCTATGCTGTATACACACACCTCTTGATGTATTACAAACGAAGTCACATGACATAATTTGGCATGTGTGGTGCGAGTCTTCTGTACCCATGGTGAAATTTCAACAGCAAGAACATTCCATATTTTGACAAGACCCATTCAGTCAGACAACTGTATGCAGAAATTCAGTCCACGTAAAGCTTTATAATGCTGTACCTACAACAAATTCATGTGAAATAGCCAAAAAGTCTCTTGATACTTGGAAGGTGAATTTCGATGTCCTTTGTGCTGACCAGTTGTAGTGATGCATAAAATTATTGGAAATTTTTGTCTTTGATTTGTCAGTTACACTTCTTTTAGGCGTAAATAAAATACAAGATAAGAGTTTGGAAAATTTGGAAATATTGAATTCTCATTTAAAAATGACGCTGTGAACTGTTCATAATTAAAAACTCTTTATTTTATCACTTCACTTCAACCCCTCCTATTTTTTGGTATTTGTTTGTATGTATTTTGTAGTAGTCATATTTCTTTTACACCATAAAATATACCTCACTCCCCAACACCCAATGAAACTGATATTCTGTTGACTATAAATACATTAGTAATTCACGCACGCAGTCGTCTATTTACACTTTATCGTAGGTTCTGAATGAAAGCACATTTTTATAAACATTCATTTGACAATATTAAGTAATCAAAAATTACTCCATTATTATACATGTATCCCAATACAATTTCTGATATAATTTTCACATGCCTGCGTTCTATCTCCCGTGTGAAGTGGTATAATAAGGTGAGCAATATTGAGATTAGGCATCGAGTGCTAGGTTAGGAGGGGAAATCAGTCGACGGGACTGTGAAATCACATCGACTGAGATGGTTAGGACATGTGTTACGTATGCCTAGTCATCGCCTTCCTCGACAATGGGCAATGTTAGCTGATATAGGGTCAGGCTGGAAAAGAGCTAGCGGTGGTCAAACCAAAACATGGCACCAGTCAATGAAATCTACAACAGTTAGTCTAAGCCACGTAGGAAGGTGTAGACTTCCTCACTGGTTGGGGTCCTCGGGAAGGTAAAAACCAATGGTTGGAAACAATTGGTGACATGGCTCAAACTCATCGTTCTCAATGGCTGGCGCAGATGCATCCACTCCTTGTGACTTATGATTTCCAATGAAACTGTTTTGTTCTTCGTTATTACTATTCCTTTGTCTCACACCTCTGTTTACTGAATATATTATGCACTTCTCCTAATTTCTTCTCTTGCTTTGTGTGCTACAAGGAGGGAGTGTGGCGACTTGAACTGGTGCACATATGTGCAAAGTTCTATGTCGAAAACCGACCGACTGACCGCCTTTCCTGGCTATTTGTATTCTAATATTCATGGATTTATAACTGTAGAACCTGAGGAAAAAATTAGCGAAAACCATGTTGTTCTGATTACACACTATGGGGATATCTGATTGACTGAAATCTATCATTAATCAAAATATTGTTAATAACTTACACCACCGCTACTATACGCATCATCATCATTTCCTTGAACATCCAAAGTATCTTGATACTTTTTCTCCGCTGAAGCACGATGGGATGGGCATTCTGAAGTATCTTCTTCGGTAGCAATTTTGATAACTGGATCAACAGGAAGTTTTGGTCTATTAATACCAGTTGAAGTTTTTACAGCTAAATGATCTTCTGAAGTATTGACAGATATTGGAGGAGGAGTAACAGCGAATGTTTCTGTTGAATTCCGAGTTTTACTTCGAGGTCTAGATAAAGAAATGCATACAGTTAAGACATGTGAAGTGATGGAAAAAAGAAGCTTGATAGTAAAAAATTTTCTTTTTTTACGGTATAGGGTTGATAGACTGCAACCTAACCTTCCCTCTTTTCAAGTTTTGATTTCAAGATATTTCACTTGATTGGTTGCAGGATTTCAGCATGAGCTGACATCAGTTAGAGAAACGATTGGAAAACCTGGGAGCAATGGACGGCTGTTTCGTCCTAGCTTGGGACTCTTCATCAATACCCACCCAGGACCTACTGGTTACAAGACGAGCTCGTAGACCATTACGCCATAGGGACTCGATCCAATGACCCACGAATTTCACGATATGGCTCGACCACTAGCCAATGTCAACACCGAGTATCTGTCTTCAATTCCCGATGTGCTGTACCTCAGTCCTCGCTAGAATCCAGGTTACTACCTACCTGAATAGAGCCAGTCGCTAGTGTTGGTTTGCAGGGATTTGGTTTGATTGGTTACAGGATTTCATCATGATCTGATATCCCTCGTTTCCAAGCTTTATAACAGTAGATAGTAAATAAAAGTGAAGGTTAGGAGTGCGTCAGCTAGGAGTCGAACCCTAAGCCATATTCATGGTCGGCGAGCATTTTACCATTGAGCCACTGACGCACAGTAAAATATCACTTACAATAAACTCAAAGTTCAATAAAACATATCATTTAATTATCTTCACTCTAAGTTGCAATAATCACTAAAGTGTAAAAAATAACGCTTAACAAAAAAAACAAAATGATTTTAACATACTTAGCTGTAGGTCCAGTAGAAGATGTGATATTATCATCATTAACAGTTATCACAGTATTCACATCATTTGATCTGATTAGATTAAGATTATTTGAATGAACAAAATTATCTGAATTAAGATCATTTGATTTAGGTGATTTCCTCTCTTGAATTGAAGGTTCCGGTTGAGGGGATACTTGTACAATATCATCGTTGAAATCTTCAGCCAGTGATTCTGAAGAACTAGCAAGGCCTGAAGTATCACGAACTGGTTTAGGTGATAGATTAGCCTATATATATAAAATATAAAGATTAGATAATAAATTTACTCGATGAAATATAAAACCTTTAAAAATAAAACAAGAAATAACAATCCTATCACAATATGCGTAAATATTAGTTTCGCATCATGATGTTAAGCATCTAGCTAAACACATTCGATTATATATAATCGCGTATTTGTTTACCTAATACAGTTGACATCCCTACACACACACACATCAGAAAACACAATGAGAGAATGTGACGACTGCAAGATAATCAACAGATTTATTGTTTTCTGAACTGGAAGGTTTAATTGACAAGCCTTCATTACCTTTTTAGACAGCTGATTTAGTGCAAACTTTAATATGAGATGAAATACGATAATACTACAACCGAAAAATATCATTATGAGGGAATACATAGTAGATGAAATGGAGATTAGTGAAAATGCTAAGGATTAAGAAAAAGTTAAACGGTAGGAACGATCTAGAGCTGCGTCAACAGTTGTAGCTGAAAATTTTGTCTAGAATGGCAAACCATCCAGAGCACAGAGAACACAATCATATCAAAATCACCTACCTGAGCTACAAATCCTCTCTAATATTCCATATACATATATATATATATGTATATAATTCCTTTACGTTTCCAGAGGGACATAGGGCTTCAGGCTAGAGGGCTTGGAGTTTCGGTAACAGTGGTATTTATTTTTACGGAATAGGGTTGCTTAGCGAGGTAAAAGAGTGTGTCGGCCGGGGATCGAACCCCTATATATATATATATATATATATATATATATACATAGAAAGAGAGAGAGGTCACAGAATTACTTTAGAACAAATTTAAAAAATTCAAATTATAAGTAGCGCTATATCATGAAATGACAAAGTTAGAATTCATGGGTCATTGAATTTCGACCCAGGTGGCTTGATCTTAAAGGTATTGGGTTCGATCCCTGGAGGGACTATGGGTACACACTGCTGAGGAGTCCCAAACTAGGACGAAAACAGTTGTCTTGTGTCCTGTGGTTCTCAATGACCTCTAACTGATAGTGGTTTGTGATGAAATCTAACAACTGAAATTTGAAATAACCACAAAATTCAATTTTAAACTTAACCTAGATAGAATTATTATTTGCTCACATCAAGATTTAAACAGTGCTACACTACAAAAGCAACATTTAGAAGATCTACTACTAAGAATAAAATTTATAAATGAAATAATAACTCTAAAATATCAAGCATTTAAGAAAGATTGTTGTCTGTATATTCTCTTTTTATTTTTTGAAAAAAAAAATTAATTTATGTTAGGACCATTTAAGGAATGTAACGAACAATATATAACTTGGCTGATTGCTAAAAGTTAATTTTGTTGTCCAGAAATTGGGGTATTTTAGAGAGGGAAAAAGAATAATAACCACAAATTGAATTAATCAACTGTCGTATATGTGTTTGTGTGAGTGTGTGTGTATGTGTGCGGTAATCTGTGCATAACAGAAGAAGACAAGCTTCTATATTCAGAAGTCTATGCCTTTTCCCAGCCAAATGAAGAAATACTGACATTCTTCCCTAATATATTCAAAAAGAAACAACAAGATTTGTACCTTTTGTAAACAATCACTATAATTTATTAATATTACTAAAAATAGAGATAAAGTGAACAGTTTTATATTTAAATTGATTAACAACGTTTTTGTTTCGAAATTCCCATATGACGTGACAGAGAAAGATGAATATAGGAACGATTTTGAATCAAGTTGACACATTTTAGAATACAAGCAAATAAGAAAATGAGGCGAAAAAACAAACAAACAAAAGAGACAAAAGAGTAGATGGAATGTACACTGTTGAGGATATTTAGGATTGCGAAATTGTTAAAGACTGAAATTATTATTCAGATCACGAATATGGGATCCGTATGATACTATATACATGGTAATAAAGAAAGAAAGTATAAATGCATGAAACTATATACTATTGATTAATTGAGATGAGTAGTTGAACAGTACTCACGCCAACTAGTAGTGCTTACTAGCCAGACCCAAATACCGGACGACCGGATTTCGCAGATGACTCATGTTTAATGTCACAAAAACTCGAAGACTTGCAGGCGAAAACCAACTAACTGGCTGGAGAGGCAGCGAAGACAGGACTCAAGGTGAACATACAGAGGCGGAGGTAATGACGATAACCAACCAACCAACCAACCAACAACCGCTACCAATCACCATCAACGGGAGAGATTTGACAGGGGTGACTTCCTTAACTTATCCAGCCAGGAGACATCGTTTCAACCACAGGCAGCTGGAACGGACGAAGATGTCAAAGCCAGGCAGAATCGAAAAGGCAAGATACACCTTCATCAACCTGAAACCAATTTGGAAATCTTCTGCACTGTATTCAGCCTGCATAAAGAAAAATATTCGGATTTTCAACACAAATGTGAAGTCATTCAGTTCTTGTACATGGGCCAGAGTGCCACGGAAAGCATATCCAGCAGGTTGCAGACTTCTTTCAACAACTGCTCTCTTCGCTGGCTTCATACTGAAGATCAAATGGAGTGCCGGCCAGCCAGAAAGAACTAACAACAAGAAATTCTGGATGGGAACAAACCAACCGTGAGCCCATTTCACAACAAATATTTAGGAGAAATTCGAGATAGATCGGGCACATGCCGAGAAGGCCATCGAACTCCAGGCCGTCACTCAAGTGGAATCCCAATGGGAAACAACCAGTTTGGCATGTATACGAGTGTGACATGGAGGAGATCGTGTGAAGGGCAGATGAGAGATTATCGTCAATCGTGAGCCCAGCTGAAGAGAACAGCACCAAATAGAACAAAGTGGAGATGTGTTGTTGAAGCCCTATGTTCCACTCGGAACCCAAGGGAATAATAATACTAATAATGAATACAGATATAAGGATAAAACTTGGGCACAACTCCATTATGTATTCACTTCACATTCTAACAAGCTACTTATTTTCGAATGTACTTTATCTTATATTGATTTTATTTAAATGTCTAAACAATTTTTACTCATGTATATAAATGAAGGAAGAAAGTTGTGTGAGTACCTTGATATGATAATGAGCGGCTCGAAACGTCATTAGTAAATACTAGTGTATAACACTGTGTGATTTTATCAAAATAAAACTTATCCATAACGAATTAATGTACATATTTCCCGTGTACTCCCCAACCCACACACGCATGCACACGTCAAGTGACGGTAATAAATAATAATAGGCGGATTTAATTCTCGGAACAGGTCTATCATGTTCCTACTATAAGCCACACTTATTGTGTAACGACTGATGATTCTACCCAGTTGTCCAGGTTGAAGTAGGCGGAGCAGGCTGCAAGTTGTCTTCAGAGTAATTTCTTCTCAGACATAAACTACTAAAATGTCAGTTAGGGGATATGTGAAAATATTAATTGACTAGTCAAGTATGTAGCTATCTGATTAGTTAGTTAGTTATTTAGTTAGTTAGACACTGCAGAATAATTAATTCGACATCTGACAGACAATAACAGAGAAAAACTGCCACAACACAGGACTGTATAGTGTGATTGCGGCTGCAACACAACAAATTAATCGGCGAAAAAAACAGAGACATGAAAAAATTGACAAAACATCACACCCTTAATAGTCGTAAAACAACACTACACGCTAAAGGAAGAGAGAGCTTGATATGAGAAAAAAAATACAAGGCTACTACAACTAGCATGAATGCAAATTAGAAATATAGACAATGTTTTTACATGATGAATTAGTCTCTTCATGCTAAAATTGGATTACGTCATCGAACAAAACAAACAACGCGGATTATCTCAGAAAATGTAGTGTATTTGCGGAATATATTTGAGGAAAGTTACTCAAAATAAATAAACAGAGTAGTACGATTTCGGTGGATACTGACTGAATAGCAATCGAGTGCAGGATGCGCATTTCTTCCTATTTCTGACTAATCAGCTAGATGTGTGGTGAGTGCTACTTATAGTCCAATATAAGTAGTATATCAGAAACGAAGTAACAATATGTTTGGCACACTGGAAAGAGCAATCAAAGAAGAGAACCATGAGAAGAATGTTGCCAGACGATGCAGAATTCAAGAAGCTATCGAATGAGACGATATTCGACCAATTCGTCAAGGATGTGGTAAATAATGTGCAAATGGCCGGTTGAGAATATGGTATACCAAATTTAGCTATGTACCATACGTTTCACCAAATAAACATTTCTTTCAGTCTCCTCTGTCTTGTCTTCTTTACAGATGCACTGCCATTCCTCACAAGTGGTCTATTGGGTAACTCTATCACTCACTGGAGAATGTAGGTACATTCAGATGATGAGTCAGATATAAGACGAAATGCTCATGCTGCAATCCACTGCTAGTCATCAACCACCAAATTATTTCGTGCCAATTTTCATTTAAAAATAAATAAATAAATAAAAGTAGTGGGATGTTGAAGAGTGCAGAGGATGATACAGGAATATTAAGTTTTGATAATATAATCATCAGGTAGGTTTTACCACAACAGATCAAGTGTAACGATAAACTATTTAGGTGTGGACAGAAAAATCGATTAATTTTATGGGTGGTTAGCGCTTCAGTAAATTTGATAACAGGTGTCTGAAGTATTTTTTAGATTTTGTGTGAATGGTTAAACGATAAAATTCTAACCAGTCGATCTGAAGAGTTTTATCAGGGTTATTCTTCTTTTCCTCAGCATTTGTAGAACATTTGATTAATTTCATTAAGAAACAACATTTGTTGAAAGTAGTAATAGCATGAACTTCTTAGCTATGATCCCAGATACGAGATCATGGATAAACATGCCTAGTGAGTATTCTTTTGATTGGACACTAGTCAGTAACTAGTGTAATGTGTCTAGTCCTATTTTTGGTGTAGACTGAATTCTATCAGTCATGTTCTCAATGTGACCACTAGTTGCTAACCAAAAAATATCCAGTACAGTCCTACAGGAGGTCAATCGCAAATCTGAATGACTCAGTGGTAACGTCTGTGACTACAGCACTGCACTGAGTGACACGGGTTCGAATCTCAGATAGAGGGATATGAGTTGTTCCTTCGAGACTGCAGATACGCCTTGCTGAAGAGTGCCAACTAGCACGAAACCTAGTTCGGGTAGGGCTTCCTGCCGACTGCCTCCAACCATCTAATACCAACAATTCCTAATGGGTCAAGAACCACGACGAAAGATCTATTCAGTATCCTGCAATTTTCTGATGTTTCCCTTACAACTGATACCATTTCACATCGATAAAACCTTATACTAAATTTTTAAATGTAAAGAAACTCAAGAAGTAATATTCTTTAGTCTTTACAAAATGCTGATACGAAGAGCTTTGAGGTTGAATAGGTAAACAACAGCAACTGTGTTTCAACAACAGATTCTTTAGGTGAATGATCTTCATTCAGATATTAATTGAAACAAGAGCTAAGAACAACAATAATAAGGAGAGATCTACTGAAACAGTATACTACTGATTGATTGAAATGAGTAGTTGTATGCCACACAAATCAACCAGTAGTGCATGCTTGACAGATCGAAGTAATCTTAACGCAGGAAGGTTGTTTTGTGGCCAAACGCCTCACCGGTGTACCCAGTCTGGTTCGTCTCGGAGAGCTGAATCAGTTCAAAGCGCTTGATTTCTTTCTGGCTATCTACTTAGACGAACTGATTTTCAATAAAAACGTCAAGTCAGTTCTTCTACACGGATCAGAAACTTGGCCAGTGTGTCACAAAGAATATTTCCAACAGCCTGTTGCAGACCATTATCAACGACTGTCTTCGCTCTATACTGAAGATCAGATGGCCGGAAAGAATCACCAACAAGAAGCAAACTATGGGAACAAACAAAACAGGAACCAATCACCCAACAAATATGCAGGAGGAAGTGGAGATGGATTGGACACTCGCTGAGGAGGCCGTTGGGTGACATCGCGCGTCAGGCCATAGCTTGAGTGGAACCCGAAAGGGAAGCGGTGAGTGGGACGTCCAAGGGTGACAAGGAGGAGATCATGTGAAGAAGAGTTGAAACAGTATGGACTAACATGGATGCAAGTGAAAAGTACAGTAGAAAACAGAAGCAAGTGGAGACGTGTAGTTGAAGCCCTATGTTCCACTAGGAACCCAAGGGAACAATAATAAATAATAATGATAATACTTAGACGAACTGGTAAAACAAATTGAAGTAAATTCGCAATTTGCAAAGTCCAAATGGTACATAGCAGCAGTTGTATGTTGTTATGCTGTTTGCTTTCTTGATCGCCATAGTATCAAGCAAATCACACATACTGTGTGATCTAAGAAAATTTAGCTTTCAACTGTGATAATGAATGTGGTGAAATTCTACCACCGGTCTCGAACTGCATTAAAACTGCAAATTATGAAAAAATTGGATTTTAGAAATCTATTGAGTTCTGAAATCGAAACTCGATGTAGACGTTAGAATAAACTGAAGAAAAGTAGCGTATATACCACACAAGTTTATACAGCCTAAATAATACCTGCAGTATAGACTAACTAACACATTTTTTGTGTGCATCATTTGAACACAGTTAGTTACATGCCAATTTTTTTTACATTAATGTCGTGTGCCAATTACTCGTTGAATAGAAAGAAGAAAGAGAAAAAAACACAACAACAACAGAATTCTTAGTCCTATTTACTGTTACCATCAAAATAAATTACGATGAATCATCAAGTTACGAGTGAAATCAAACACTGATATGTGCGCACGTGTGTGTGTGTGCGTGCGTATATGTGTGAAAAAGAGACAGAGAATAAAGTAAGGAGTTAAAATAAACAGTAAATATTCCACTATATCCAGTATGATAATTCATCATACATAGAACTCCGCGCTAACGAAAATTTGAATCTAAATAAAAGAAATCAATTCAAATTCCACAGTACATCTTTTATAAGACAGTTTTTTTTGTGTGTAATACTATAAACACTAGTTACACACACTTCAAGATGGTAACTGTAGAACAACGCACTGATTTAAACTTTCTTAATACATTAAACCTACACAATCAAGGAGAGCAGTTCAAACGCAGTAAATTACACGGTTTACTATAAGCTGACAGGAATCGATGTTAAAATCGAAATGCTTAGTTATAGACAGATTAGCATCGGTCGGTCGGTCGGTTTTCGACATAGAACTTTGCACATATGTGCACCAGTTCAAGTCGACACACTCCCTCCTTGTAGCACACAAAGCAAGAGAAGAAAGTAGGAGAAATGCATAATATAGACAGTAAACAGAGGTGTGAGACAAAGGAATAGTAATAACGGAGAACAAAACAGTTTAATTGGAAATCATAAGTCACAAGGAGTGGATACATCTGCACCAGCCATTGAGAACGATCCCTTTGAGCCATATCATCAATTGTTTCCAACCATTGGTTTTTACCGTCCCGAGGACCCCAACCAGTCTGGAAGTCTACACCTTCCTACGTGGCTTAGACTAACTGTTGTAGATTTCGTTGACTGGTGCCATGTTTTGGTTTGACCGCCGCTAGCTCTTTTCCAGCCTGACCCTATATCAGCTAACATTGCCCATTGTCGGAGAAGGCAATTGATGACTAGGCATACGTAACACATGTCCTAACCATCTCAGTCGATGTAATTTCACAGTTTCGTCGATTGATTTCACCTCGTTACCTAGCACTCTACGCCTAACGTCAATATTGCTCACTTTATTATACCACTTCACGCGGGAGATAGAACGCAGACACCTATGATCGAAGACAGCTAATCTTTTCATCTCTTCCGCTCTCAATGGCCAGGTCTCACAGCCATGTAGGAGGACGGAGCGGACTGTTGAGCAGTACATACGCCCTTTGGTCGATAGTCGGATGGGATGGGTCGGATTAACATGGGACTTTAATGCTCTTGTTGGGCAGAGGCTGAACTAAACAGACAAAATATAATTCTAATCGACTGGTTCTTAATGTAATCGAATTAGAAATGCAGAAGGCTTGTTTGGCACTTGCTAACGTACGTCATCTTTGACTCAATCGACCATTTATCAAGAAGTGTTGTTCCCTGAGTAGTAGTAGTTTACAATTGTGAATACATGTACAGAGAAGCTGTTTTTGACCACAGGTACCTTTGAACAACATGGTCGTTTATAATGAAATTAGGTGTGGTGCTAGGTTAAAATTCTACCAAGGTGGTTGGTTATGAGTTTTCATCGGTACAAGTAGTTGTCTCGTAGGAATAATGAGTGACTTGCTGAGAAATTAATGCCTTCTTCAACCAATATATGTGGGAAATTTTTATTCAAATCATACTACGTTTATCAGTGCTCAGACGAAGAACACAAGGAAATAATAAAGACGCGCTTAGAGGTTTGTACAAATTCTAGCACAATAGTCACCGACAAAAAGGACAAAAGAAGTAGTCAAACAAGAAATTTATATACGTATAATTTTTTTTCTCCAAAATAATTACTAGTTTCTGAGGGAGGAAATAAAAACACAGATATAATAGACGCAAAAAAACACAAAACAACTCACATTCCCATGCTGGCTTAAATCGCCTTTACTGCCAATAACATGACTGTCTGTAGCCTTTTTACCAGAACGTGGATGACGTGTTTTTGGAAATCCTTTTGAGGCAGATTTATCCTTTGATTTATGAAATACAAAAGGGAACAGAAAAAGGTATCGTCATAATATTTATAATTAATAAAAAGATTTTTATATTAAGAAAAAGTAAAGAATACACAAGGGAAACATTTTGATACATTAAGTACACCAAATCATACTAATCGCCTTTTACAGAAATGTGAAAACAATAATAAGTGATTAATTTTCAGGAGTTAGTTTCCAGGGATTTATAATTTGTTTCAAGTTTGAGGACGGATGATTGATCAGTTATAGAACCACTTTAAGAACTCGGGAGTCCCAAACTAGGACGAAACAACTGTCCAGTACTCCCAGGTTTTCAGTGGTTCTCTAACTGTTATCCATCTGTGCTCAAACTTGAAGTAACTGATTCTTGGTCGACGGTTATCACCAAGTAATAAATGTGTGGCAATTCGAACATCTGTGCTAATTTCTGTTCTACATTGAAACCAGTAGCCAGTCAGTGAAATAAATGACTTACTTTGATGAAAGTGAGTCTGGGCTTATCAAAGCAGAACTTTGCATAAAAGTACAGAGTTTCAAGATGGCACACTACACAAAGAAGCACAAAAAAGTAGAGAAAAGAAATTTTGTGAGAACTATTTTCTGTCAAGTTATCAACAGCCTCCCCAACCACTGATTTTTAACATCCCATGTACCTCCCTATGTGGCTCAAACCAAACGTCAAAGGCCTCTATAGAATAATAATATGTAACTGTCTGACAGCACTGTATCCGGTTAAAATGCTCATCAAGAAAGGTGATGAGTGACTTTATACGTGTATGCACCAGTCATCTTGTTCAATGCAGCTTCACAATCACATAGATCAACTTCCCTTCCTTAGTGAGCATTACTCCTCACCTCATTATTATTATTACTGACAATATTGCTCCAGCTAACAAGGAGAATTTGAACGCAGACAATTATGATCAAAACACAAGTATTTGTCGTATGCTTAATAGATTGTACATGACAAGAGGCTGATGATATCAACAAAAGTCTATTTCTCAGTAAGAACATTTAATTCATTTTCAAAAGCACATGCTACAGCAGTTTTTTTTCCTTCAAGTTCTCCAGTGAAACATAGGGTTTCAAGCTAGTGGCTTGAAGTTTCTGTAGCAGTGTTTATTTTACAGGATGGGTTTGCTAGCCTCATGCCCAACCTTTCCTCTTCACCAGCATTATTTCTGGCTTAGCGAGGTAAAGGAGTGCGTCGGCCGGGGATCGATCCCAAGACCATGTACATGGTCGGCGAGCGTCCTAACCACTATGCCACCGACGCACTGCTACAGCAGTTAATATTCACTTACTGAGTTAAAACAAATCAGATTAGTAGTTACTTCTTAACGTAAAACTGTCTACGAGTAAAAAGTAAAGCATTAAAAAAACAATTCACAGCATAACGCTGAACCCAACAAGCCACTTACTGGATAAGACAGAAAATTTCGGTCCTTAATCCTAAACTGATAATATATGGTGCCAGAGTTAACGAATAAAATTGTTTTACTAACATACAGAGAAACGGTCTTACAACATGAGTAGACAGCCGAAGAGACAAAAAAAAATAATTCTAATGCAAACAGGATATAAAATCCTTTATATATTGGATTAAGACCTCTCTGGTGTGTGAAAAGTAACTACAAATGACACCGTACATGAAAGTGAATTCATGTCACATTACTGTATAAACAGTATAAACATGAGTGTTGTGAATGAAAATGACACACACACACATAGAGTGACGAATAATCTCGTGTTGGTAACCTTTTACCCTTATCTGACAATTAATAGATTTCCCCCATAAACAACCTAGTACGACCAAGAGTGGCTTGACTGAGGTCTTCCCCTCGAAAATTTCCCATACGGTCACCCATTCGTAGCCTCTGCCAGGTAGGTACTATTCACTACATTCACGTAGGTGGGATGTTCCTCACATAAGTGAAAGGTCGAACGAGAACGCCTAGTGCTTACAACTGAACTGGTTGACATGGTGGTTTACTTAGGGGAACTGGTAAACTCTGATATTGAACCTATGATGTACATGGAATCCACAGTCTGAAAGAATCGAATGGTATGTAAACCTGTTTTGGTCACCAGCAATCATAGCAATGCAACTCCTCCCGCTGCTCTACTGTCTTGTAGATCAAATTCCAAGTCAAAGGCTCGGAGACGGGTGGCCCCTCAAAACAAAACACTTGCTTCGGTGTGGGTGTCCGGACAGTATCCCAGTCCTCTCACAAACTATGACATATTGCGTGGCGCACCTCTTGATGCCCATAATGTATTCATAAAATGTTTGAAAAAAGATTAACTGACCTCCAGATGACACATTCTTATTTAACTTCCTGCACTTCTACGCATTTTAAACAATATATTAAGTTTTTTTATGATAGCTTGATTCCACACCATATTTTTGGTACAAGTATGGAATTTTCAGCATGTGATGTCGGAAGCCCAAATTTTGCAGGCCGACCACTGATATCAGGTGTGCGTCGGTGGAGGATCGAACCCCGGACCATGTGCGTGGTCGGCGAGAGTACTAACGGCTGTGCCACCAACGCTGTGCCATTGACTGTGTTTTCTTGGTAGAGATTTTAACATGGAATTCAAAAACTGTAACTGAGTGACTAGTTGAGTTATACCAATCATTTCTAATTACATGAGTCAGACCAGAAACGAAACTAAATCGAGTATCAATTGAGACCACGAACAGAAACAATTGGTGGATATAAATATACAAGGCACTGCATTGGAAAATAACAACAAGAGTAATAAATGTGTAAGCAGTTAACACCAAAAAAAAGAAAACAACAAAGAAGAAAGAAAAATTGTGATTCGCTCAGTTAAAATGTCTAAACCGACTACCGTACACTTAAGGGTGATTTAGGAACTGACCTTTCTAAACTTTTCTCCCCTTCTAGGATACATTTACGGGGTCACCGCAAAAAGGTGCTCAAACTGAGGAAGATAAAAATACGTGCAGAATTTAGATTCTCTCACAGAGTGGTCAACGACTGGAACTCCTTACCTGATTCAGTAGTATCAGCTCCATCGGTGAACAATTTCAAAGAGAAGTTAGATCTCTGCAGAGATATATTTTGCAAGGATTTACACAGGCCACCAGAGCCTACTATCCTTATCATCTGAATCTGAATCTGACTATAACAAATATAACTTATTGTAAATAAAAATCACTAATGCTTACCGATTCATCAGGTTTCACTGAACCAGAGAAATGAACCCGAGTTGACGCAGATGTTGGCATAGACAATGAGGAATGCGTCGATGAAGTAGACAGATTATTTGTATGATTCGGTGAAGAATATGTAGGATCTAAATTACCATTGACAGTTGAAGAAAATGTAGTCGATACTGCAGTAGAATATGGTGATTTTTTATTATTACTAATAGCAGTAGTCATTGAACTGAGTTTCAAAGAACTTGGATCACTTGTCATTGTTGTAGAATTAGCACTCAGTGTCGGTGAAGGCAAAATACTCGACGGTTTAGTTAATTCATAATTCAAAGGTGATGTATTTCGATTGCTTGAAGGATTCGACTGAGGTGTAGAAGTGTGCAAATCAGCAGGTTCATAGGCATGATTCACTTCTACATTGATTCCATCGAGAAGATCATGTTTTGGTTTAATATCAGGATTTAAGGATGTAGAATAACTAGCCAATTCAGACGGTGACACAGTTGGATCTAAAAGTATTAATGAAAATAGTTTTTTTTCTTTACAATAAGAGAAGGAAGTTGCGATTTCACGTGATGATGATAAGGAGAGAAAAAACAATCACATTTTAATCTTGAAAAGAGTATTTAAATAGCCATCGAATAAAGACAATGTATTAGACTGTGAGATCACGCAAAACTCAGTTGCGTCATAGTCTCTTAATCATAGATTAATTATTCTTTCTTTCAATTCTAAGGTAATGTTATGCAGAAATTATAATGTCGATGTTTATTTTTTCTTTCTTGAAAACGACACTACGTGTATTTAAGCATACTTTTGCTTTAAAGCGATTTTCAGAGTCTGTACTTAGAAAATTCACTTACGTGTCTGAGAGTGAAAGAAAAATAAATAACACATTAGAAGGTAGGTGGTTAGTGAAGAACAAATAGGAAGACAATACAGTCTTGAATGGAGAAAGGAGATAAGACAAAGCGAACATAAACCTTAATGCGATTAACCATAAAGAAGAATCAGTTAGTTATGACGACAGTCTGACGATCGAATCACACTGCTTCAATTTACCTTTGATAACTAAATCAATATTGGATCAACTGCCTTTAAGGTTCAATACTACTACATGATGTCTGATTATTTTGTTAGGAGCAGAAAGTTTCAAAGAGGCAGACAGGTTCCGAGGCTGATGAAGGGTATAGGAATCAAGCGATTGGAGCATAAGGCAAAACTAATGACATCTAGTAATCGTTACCAGGAGACGCAATTATATCAATCATGAAGAAATTTAAATCATTTCACTTTATGCTAAATATTACGCTGATGATGTTGTCCAGAAGGACGACGAAAGCTTCGCAACTAAATCAACCAGCTCAGAGAACACTATTAATTGCAAATCATCCACCTGAGCTACAAATCTTCTCTATTATCTAGTAATCGTTTATATCCTCTGAACTTGAAGGTGAAATTGCCATCGCTGACAAGGCTTTTAGGAATATATTCATGACCATAATGTGGAGCTAATTATGGTACGGTGGCATATTTGATATCTATTTATGTATTACTAAAAATAGAAAAGCTACAGTGTAACTAGATCCAGTGAATGTAATAAAGCACTCTAACTCCCATAGATGTAGCGATCACAAGGGTAAGAAATATGCAACCATAGTGACAGAAATGAGTGAATGATGACATTTCAACTGATGCCGAAAGATAGTAAAGGATAATAAAGCGAAGCAATTTCCAACTTTACTTTGATATGACAATTAGCTGTTTACATTTCCGTAATGAATTTGTGTGACTCAGCAAGCATGTTAACATTGCCGATCAACATAGAAATTGTAACATACACAGACAAGCGATACAGAGAGAATACTGCACAAACGAGCATCAGTTAAAGGTGTCACACACAATTCCGAATAGCAAACAATTTAGGAAAAATAAGTAATACAATGAATATAAAAGTATGAGGGGGGAGATAATTATGTGCATATAAATTAAGCTTATCAGTGGCTCAAAAATGGGGAGTGAATATATGATGTTGAGTCGTAATACGAAGAATATCTGGTCATCGGTTTTTAGAGTCTAAAGACCCAAGAGGTAAATACGAGCCAAACATGCTCAGAATTCTGCTCGCGGTAATCAGTGGACTCATCACTTTACCTAATATATCTGCGAGTCTCTTCCGGACTCTAGGAAGAATTTATATTTCCAACTTAGAATGAGTTTAAATGATGGTTAGGTTTAAGTTGATATAGGTCAGTTGAGCTGCTACTCACAGCGTTCTGTGGAATGTATCATTTTTTGAGATTCCTTCACTTAACACATGCTTTAACTACACGTCTTTTTGATAAGTCAAAAAAGTTGATGGAGAGATTAATTACTGGTGACACTTGTCTTCGACCTAGTTGTGTTCTCTGAGCTGGTTGATTTGACTTCGAAGCTTTCATCGTCATTCTAGACAAAATCATCAGTTCAGGTTTTACTATGAAATGAACTTATTTGAATTCTCCATGAAAGATATAATTGTATCTCTTGACAATGATTGTCGTGACTGGCTGTTAATTTACGTCTCTATTGATCATTTTTATCGACTTAGAATTTGAACTTTTTTGTCTCATCTTCATTTCTTCCTTTAGTCTTGCAACGAAGACTTTTACTTTCAATGCTCACCACCATGATCAACATCAGGTGGAATTAGTTACTAGCATTGATTCGCCTATCCGACGTTACTATAATTCACTGAATTTTACCCTGATCATTACCCATAAGTTATCAGTCGCCGCCCTCATCGCTTCTTTAGGATAATTATTGCTCGTAGGCTCAAGTAAGTGTTTCGGTGAAAATAATTTTGTGGTATGATGAAAATTACTGGGAAGCAGACAAAATTGAAATCAACATTTTTAATCACTGGCTACAAAGGTGGTAGAGCTTGTCGCATTTTCTTCGTTCTAAGCTTCTAAGGACAAAGGAGGCCTTGGCAATTCCCTAATTCCAGCCAAACCTTTGTATACATAATCTGTGTACCTTTCCCTCATTACTACGATTATTATTATTATTGTTACTATTTATATTCCCACTTCGAACTGTTCCCGGTATTATCTCATTAATCCCACTTGTCATTCTAAATCAAAATTATTCTAAAGTGTTGAATATTCTATCTTATCAAATTTCACATCTTGTTGTATGACGTTTTATATTTGTCTACTAATCCTATAGTTGTTTATATTCTCCCAACATCTATACGTCTTATGAACTATTTCCATGTATGAGATTATTTGTCCCGCTAATTTACACTTAATATTTAACTATGATTACAATCACAAACATATTAATTACATGTCATACTGTGGTGAGAGCTGGCTGCTAGCCAAACTTGGTAGACAGTAATTTACTTCAATAGCGTCGGTGGCATAGCGGTTAGGACGCTCGCCGACCACGCACATGGTCCGGGGTTCGAACCCCGGCCGACGCACTCCTTTACCTCGCCAGGCCAAAAATAATGCTGGTGAAGAGGGAAGGTTGGGCATGAGGCTAGCAACCCCATCCTGTAAAATAAACACTGCTACAGAAACTTCAAGCCTCTAGCTTGAAGCCCTATGTTCCACTGGGGAACGTGAAGGATAAAAAAAAAATTTACTTCAATGTTTATGTCCCCAATATTGGCGGTGAGAAAATGAGAACAAAGACTTTGCGTAGGCGGATACAGTTAGCATATCGATGATCTGCCACAGCCACAAAGAGATGCAAGGTTAACTTTCTGTGAGAAACAACCAATCAAAAGACTGTATTATCTACTAACAATAATCTACTATAATGTACATTAAAATCTATAAATATGTGTTGATTTTACTTAATAAACGATCTGTTGCCTGGCCCTTGTCTTCTGTTGTTACAATACTATTGTTTAGGATATTCACGCCTTTGTTTAAATTTCCTTGCGGGATAAAATTTCTTAAAAACCAAATATATATAGGATTGTGCAGCTTGATAATACATTTGTTGAAAAGCGTCTCTTCATTGAATATTATATTCTTAATATTACAATAGGAATTATTAAATTACTGACAAAAGGCAGAAGCGTCTAATCGTCAGGTCTGGATTTGGTTTAAGTTTTATGAACACGAAATAACCTAATTGGACAACATGTTTAGCCTTGGGCTGGTCGCCAACCAATCAGAACAATTTATTCCCCTCCGACCTTGCCAAACTTTATAATGCGGCTAAGAATGTATTTAATGTGTGTTTTCCTTAATAAAAGTTCGTTACCAAGTCACTTAACTTCTCCCATTATACTTTTCTTAGCATTGAAGAAAGACTGCAAAACATTCTAAAATAAACGACACCTACAACAGAATTCCTGCTTTGACTAGCCAAGTATATATATATATATATATATGTCACGGGAATTAGCAAACACTTCAACCTGTTCACTTATGCTTTTCACAAAAAAACCAATTTCTTTTTTCTTTCTTGTTCTCTTAAAACTAGAATACGTGAAACAAATAAGTGTAACTCTAAAATCTAGTTCATTAACATGTGCAGAAAAAATAACAATAATACTAAGATCTATTGATCATAATAGTAATAATAATAATAGAAAACATATACAATCAGAAACTGAATTAGTGTGTGTGTCCTGAATAAAGGTGATTTTCTTACCAATAGTCATTAGGCATTCTATTATTTTTGCATACATATGCACGCTAATATATATATGTATATATAATGGTGATTCACTGGTTATGTGTAAGTTTATTTAAAAAAAGTGAAAATAAATAACTTGACTGTTCATCTGTCTAAAGGTAACGTTAAATTGGCAATTTAACACAATGGCACATGTGAAACACCGGTTCAAAGATGACAACATAATCCATGGCAAATGAAATAAACATAAAAGTTTGTATTGGATAGATATTATTATTATTATTATTAATCCCTTGGATTCCGACTGCTACATAGGGGCTTCAACAGCACATCTCCATTTCCATTTGTTTTCTGCAGTCCTTTTTAGCTGACGACATAAGCTCTCATCTCATCCACGTCACGACCAGACGCTCAACTTAGCCTCTCCCTTTCCGGGTTCCACTCGAGCGACGACCTGGTGCGTAATGTCACTCAACGATTTCCGCAACGTGTGTCCGATCCACCTACATTTGTTTCTGCATATTTGTTGAGCAATAGATTCTCGATTGGTTTATTTCCACTCTCTTTATGTTAATTATTTCTGACTGTTTGATCTTCAGTATGGAGCGAGGGCAGCTGTTGATAAAAGTCTGAAGCCTGTTGGAAATGTTTCTCGTGGTACGCCAATTTTCTGACCCATATAGAAGCACTGACTAATTTAACACTGGTGTTGAAAATCCGAATTTCGTCCTTTGTGCTGAGTGCAAAAGATTTCTAAATTGATCTCAGAGTGATGAACGTAAGACTTGTCTTTCCAATTATGGTTCTGACATCCTCACTCGTGCTGACTGCCTATAGTCGAAATGGTGCTGCCTAGAGAAGTGAACTCTTTCAAATTAATTCAGTTGTAAGGATTGGTGCTTGTTGGAGTTAGTTGGTTATTTTCATCACCACTGTCTTCCCTATGTTCACCTGAAGTCCTGGTCTTTTCTGCATGCCTCTTATAACAACTAGTTGGTTTTTGCCTGCAAGTTTTCGAGTTTGTGTGACAATAGACATAGGTCATTTGTGAAATCCAGATCTTCTAGAGTCTTCTTATCAGTCAAACGTATCCCTGTCTTCTTGATACCCACGGTCTATAACATAATCCAGTCCACCATAATCAACAATATCATCGATGGTAGTAGACAGTCTTGTCTTCACTTCAAAGGCTTCACTGAGTTTTCCGTTGTGGATCACTTGACATCTAGAATTGTCATATAACTGCTGAATGAGGTCAATAAAGATTTGGGGAAGTCCGTAGTGTTGAAGTAATTTCCAAATTACTTTGCAATCAATTTTGTCGAAGGCCTTTTCAAGGTCAAATGAAGTTGAGGTAGAAATATGACAACTATTCTAAGCTTGTTCGATGACGATAAGTAGAGTTGCAATTTGATCCGTACACCACTTACTTTCCCTGAATCCAGCTTGTTCCGGAAGGAGTTTTGCATGCACAGCATATTTTAGTCCCTCCGGGATGCCATGGTCCAATATTTTTCTTGGCATGGACAAAAGAAGGCTTCCATGCCAGCTTTTGCAAAGGCCTAAGTCCCTCTTCTTTATTAGTTTTACAAAGTAACCTTCCTTCCACTGGATATGTATCAGGTCATATTGTCACTCTTGAAAACACTGTCACACGAAGGAAACATCAAATTACAGTAGATTGCAAGAAAATTGCAAGAGGAAACCTCCAGATTATAATAAAGCATCAGTGGATGGTGATTGTAACTTCACTAAAAGCCGCCAAATGTTGATTCTTAATATAGTGTGAACAACAGCCTCACACAGGCGAGGTGGATAGCTGAACATTTAACAGATTAATGCCACACTTTTATTTGGTTACCTCTAACTTTTTTTCACATAAAATTGCTAATATGCAAAGAGGTTCTATATTAAGCATGAAACAGATAACCGAACAGCAATAACTGAGTAGATGGATACTAGATTTAGTGAATTAAAATATTAAAATCAACGTATTAGATGGTTAGAGGCAATCGGCAGGAAGCCCTACCCGACCTAGGGTTCGTGGTAGTTGGCACTCACCAGTCAGCAAGGCGTATCTGCAACGTCGAAGGAACAAGTCATGTCCCTTCTGAGATTCGAACCAGCATCACCCAGTGCAGTGCTGTAGTCGCAGACGTTACCAGTGAGTTATTCAGGGTCACGACTGATCACCTGTAAGACTCTATTGGATAATTTTTGATTGGACGCCAGTTAGTAAATATCCAATACAGTCCTACAGGAGGTCAGTCGCGAGCCTGAATAGCTCAGTGGTAACGTCTCTGACTGCAGCACCGGGTGACGCGGGTTCGAATCTCAGAAGGGACATAAGTTCCTTCAAGGTTGCAGATACGCCTTGCAGATGAGTGCCAACTAGCACGAAACCTAGGTCCAAGGCTTCCTGCCGATTGCCTCCAACCATCTGATATCAACTATTCAAAGTGCACCGTGATGGCGAGCCATATAGCATGTTGGCCACATTGCAAACTTGACAAATAGAATACAGTCTGCCCCAAAGATAGGTCCAGACACATGCACACATAACACTAGTTACTGAATACCGTTCAATCAATCAAATCAACATATTTAACAAGACTGTCAGTTAATTGCAATAGAATACGTAAAAGATAAATGGAAAAACTTTACTGTCTCAATACTAATGTCTATCGCTTGAGAATAATCCAAGAGTGTACAATTTCAAATTGTCATGCTTGTATAAGTTAGGGTTGACTGCACGATAAAAATTCATACTTTTATTAATAGTATTAAAAGATAATGATCACAGGATTAATAAGTCAACTTGAAGAAGAAATTTCACATGAAAAAGAAAGAAACCAGCTTACATACATAAATGAATTCAACTAAAATAAAGTCCACTTCAGAAAAAAGAAAAAAAAAGGTACATGCTTACCAGTTTCAATACGTGAATCTAATTGTTCCTGAGGGAGTAAATAACACGTAAGATATTGTTCCTGTGTAACAGGATCTACATCCATTTGTAGTGTAACCACTGGTTGAGATTGATTTTGTGAAAGCCATAAAGCTGTCAATGAGCATTTTGATAAACTGAATGGTAAACGATCAAGTCTACAACAGCAACAACAGAAAAAAACAACAATATGAAAATCATTGAAGTAAATTGACTGTTCAAGAACCCATTTGTTCAGGGTTTTTTTACCATATATTATGCTAATGAATAATTGACAACACTATTCATATACAGGAGATAAGTTTTAGAATATTTTCTTATAAATTATTAATTCAGCTAATGGAAACTGGTTAAAATTATATAAGTTTTACGAAAGAAACTTGGAAACAAATAATGCGAAGATCAGAGTGGATAGTATGATAGAAAATCGATAATTGGTAGAAAACACATGTTATCATGTCTTTATATTTGTTCCTTAATTTCTAAATTTTTTGATATCTCCTTAAAGTTTTGTGTATAGATGAGCTAGAAAGTAAATGAATCCTGAAATAACTCAATTGTTTGTTTGAAGTCAGTTATCCAGAGAAGGTTTTTCATTTAAGACTTTGAGCAATACTGATAGTCTGAAGGTCACTGATACAACCCAGTGGCATAGGCTGAGGTAAGCTGTAGTGGAATTCGAACCAGCGACCCTTTGTCTGAAAGCTTGGTGCTTAAACCATTGGCACACGTCCCCACACGATAGAATGCCGTTAGTTGTCATTAAAGGTTTTCCCTTTTAACATACTGAAAAGTAAATTTACATTTGTTGTTTCGGGTAAGAAGCAGAGGCGTTTGAAATTTTAAAAAATACTGATATATTGGCAATCAATTTTTAAATAAACCCAGAAGAGTATTATATTGTAATAATAAATACTAGAAAATGAAAGAATTTGCAAAAGATTTATATCTTTTAGTCCAACAATATATGGAAACGAAAATACTTAAAGGATGTTCAACTATACTGGAAATATTGTAGGGTTACTTAAACGAATTTTGAATGTGCAACCGAATGCCTATGAATAGGCGATTTAGCTAAGCGACACTACAGCACACATTGGAGCAGAGATATAAATCATTACTTAGCGGATTATTTCACGCTACGATGATTTATACATTTTTCTTTTATTCCTTTACATTCCCAGTGGAACAAAAAGCTTCAAGCTTCAGCTTTGAAGTTTCAGTAGCAGTGATGTTTTTTACAGGGTGAGTTAGCTAGCCTCACGCCCAACCTTTCCTCCTTGTCTAGCTAAGGCAGGTAAGGGAGTGCGGCGGCCGGGACTTGAACCCCGGACCACATGCATGGTCGGCGAACGCTCTACCGCTGAACTAACGACGCGATTTATACATTACCGGGTCCGAATCTCTCTCCATCATCTACATCAGTTATGAGAACTACTGCGTGGTATCCTCAGCTCTCATACAATAAGTGTGGCTGAGTATATGAAAACCCAAACCATGTGACTTAGTAATGTTGACTCATAACATCTGCAGTATTAATTATTGCTTAGCTTTATCGTATTTTTTTCTAAAATTCTCACTCTTCGAGTTTAGTGCCAATAATATTTTACGCAAATTTTGTATTGATGCTGCGTCAGTCATATGACATATGTAAACAAAAGACTTGGTGGCAAACGTTTACTTAACTAAATAGATCTTCATGATTGTTGCATAGTTACAACGAAATGTTTGTCAGCGGTTTTTTTCTTTGATTCCATTGCTTCGAGCTTAAGTTCTGAAGGTCCAGTAACAGTGATCTTTTTCTTAAGGAAAGAGTTGCTAGCCTCACTCCTAACCATTCTCTTGTGCCGGGCTCACTAATGGCTAGGCGAGGTTTAGGAGTTAGTCGGCAGGGAATCGTACCACGGACCACGCGCGTGGTTGACGAGAATTCTACCGTTAAACCACCAACGCGTGTCAGTGTATTAGTTTTGTTATATTACTGGAGATAATAGGTATAGGCAAACGAAGAAAGAAGCAATAAGATAGCCAATATTAAATTTATGACAGACAAATCCAGAGATGACTGAAAGCATACTATTCTAAATACACATATTGTTCAGTAATATAATTTATATTGGAACGAATAACATATTAAAACTAGTGTTATAAAAGCACACATAAACCTACCTATTGCCAGAAACATCCAAGACTCGTAAACGTGTACAATTACCAATCTCATTTGGCAATCTTTGTAAATTATTCTCTCGCAGAGACAAAATATTAAGTGATGTACATTGACCAATCTGAATATACAAAGTGACATTTCAAGATCATAGAGATAAAATACCATACAAATAAACATTATATTTATCAATAATATATATATGCTAAAAATGCTCGACAACTAAAGTGTTGGCTTGTGGCATGTGTAGCACGTGTTGTAACCAACCATAATCGATACAGCTTCACAATCTCATCGACTAACAATCTCATCCCGCCTACCTAACACTCGATTTCTAATATCAATATTACTGACCACATTACACCACCTAATGTGGAAGATAGAACGTGAACATCTGTGGCCAAAGACAGTTAGATTTTCCAGGTCCTTCCACTTTCTAATTGTCATGTCTCACAGTTGTAAAGTAGCTATATATATATATATATATATATATATATATAAGATAAATTGTGAAGTCTCATCAAATAATAATAGAAAAATATGGCAAGCGAACTACACAACCGAATCGAATCGATAAACAGAGTTTTCAGTTCACTGAATACAAGATGAGATATACAATATGATACACAACATATTTAATGCAAACTCAACCCACATGTAACAAATAATTAGCAAGATATATATGTATATATATATATATATATATAAATGTGCTTCATAGAAGTGTGTCAGTGATCTACAAAGTGAGACTCATAAACAGTAACATAACTGAACTCAAACAGTGATCACAGGCATTAGAACATACAAACAACAAAGTAGACATGCAGAAGGATTCAGAAACACAAATTCGATACAAAATCATTTATCGCACTATATATATACATATATTCCATATGCACACAAATTATATTCGTAGGTAAACTTTTAGCAAAAACAGTATTCTACATACAAAATAAAATTAGAAACAAACTTCAACATATTGCGAAACCCAATTGTAGACTAGCATGACTCGCACAAAAATTTGACTACTCGTTAGGCAGCACATATTTAACTACAAAACATATTTTCAAGTATTGGTTTTGTAGGGAATTTTTGTTTGATTGGTTGGGGGATTTCATCATGAGCTGACATCAGTTAGAGAACCACTGGAATGGTCGTGCTATGTCGTGAATTGGCAGAAGGTAGAATTCAAGAACCATTGGATCGGGTCCCAGTGGCTCAATGGTCTACGAGCTCGCCTTGTAACCAGAAGGTCCCACGTTTGAACCCTGGTGGGTGCGTACTGATGAGGAGTCCCAAACTGGGGCGAAACAACTGTCCAGTACTCCCAGGTTTACAAGTGGTTCTCTAACTGATGTCAGCTCATGATGAAACCCTCAACCAAAACATATTTTCATCGGAAAATCTGAGCTGTATTCGACGCAAACATTGATAAACATTAAACCGTTCATAACTACATAACATCACGTCTCACAATATCTCTCATCGACATATTAACATACAAAGTAATAGGAAGGACTAATGAGGAAATGAAATTAATATGTTAAACCATATGAGAGCATAATTAGTGTGAAACAGTTTAATTAACAATTAAATGAAGATAATATGTAGCGACTGTTAACAGAAATCTCATGTGTTGACTTATTTGTGAATCGCCATCAACTGTTATTTAACACAAACATGGAAATCTCGTTCGACATTAGTCAACTTGTGTCGCTATTTGATAAACATAAAACACCCAATTGTATGTCTACTTTTTTAATTCTTTTACTTTCCTAATGGAACATGAGGCTTCAAGCTAGAGGCTTGAAGTTTCGGTAGCAGTGGTGTGTTTTTCTTAACGGGGTGGGGTTGCTAGCCTCATACCCGACCTTCCCTCTTTACCTGTCTTATTACAGGCTTAGTGAGGTAAAGGAGTGCGTCGGTCAGGAATCAAGCCCCGAATCACATGCGTGGTCGACAAGCATTCTACCGCTGTGCCATCGACGTTTGCGTATAAGGCCTATATATTCGATATCCATTTGTCCCACTCTACTTCATAGCTGTGAATAATGGCAGTAGAAAGTTGAAGACATGAACAGACTGTGGGTTTATATCATCGATGGTTTCGTTGTTTAACAGTTCACGTCAGGTGGAAAACACGCTAAGTTATGATGAAGGTAGATTTGTGATGTTAACAGATAAAACTGTAAATCTCCACAGATAGCGGTGGCAGCACCATATGTTACATATACTGCAATACGATCCTGCTTAACAGTGAATCATAGATGTAAGTCTCAGAATCGTCCATAATGTTGGAAATATTTCCATTCCTCGTTATCACCCAGTTTCTGAAAATATTTTCTGATTTCACCAGTCATATTTTTTTAACACCAGTTCCATATTCAAGTATTTCAGTGTGTCTATTTCTGTTGTTATCATTATATAGCGTAGTTTTTAGAAATGTTAATAAATCAATTGTTCGGTATGTGGGGAATTATTGAAGTAATAGATTTTTCTCCCAAATACCCCAATGAAACCAGTTTTCACCCTTATTCATCATACACACACATACATATATATGACACATATTTATAGACACAGAACACACTGCTTTAATAATTGAGACGTGTGCTTTATCCTGACAACAATTTATAAGTAGTATATCATCAACGATGTCTTCTGCAAGAATCTTGAGTAGTAGAACATTAGATCAAGTTGAGATCAAGAGAAATTAAAGTCCATTGTAAAACAATATAGAAGAAGAAGCAGAAAACCAAGAAGTTTTGCAAATGGGAATTCCAATGTAGAGGGTTTCTGTATTTCACCATCAACGTATGTCATTCGCGTTAATTTTTTTGCTTTTTTTGAGAATATCTGTCATAGTTGGGTTCTTTTAAATGTACTGTTGTAAAATTCAACAATTTAAACCTGACTAACTGGTTTCAACATACAAATTTGCACTGATGTGCACCAGTTCGAGTCGCCACACAAAGCAAGAGGAGAAAGTAAAAAGAAATACAAAATAGAGACAGTAAACAGAGATATGAGGCGAAAAGAATAGTAATATGGAAGAACCATATAGTTTTATTGGAAATTTTAAGTCACAAGGAGTGGATGCATCTGTGCCAGTCATTGAGAACGATTTTGAGCCATATCATCAAATTGTCTCCACCCATTGGTGTTTATCGTCCCGAGGACCCCAGCCGGGCGGCCAGTCTACATCTCCCTACGTGACTGGTCTAAGCTACCTGTTGTGGATTTCATTGACTGATGAAGCCATGTTTTCCTTTGACCACCACTAGCTCTCTTCCAACCTAACCCTATATGTCAGCTAATATTGACGGCGAGGAAGGCGATGGATAGGCATGCGTAACACACGTTCTAACCAGCTCAATCGATGTAGCTTAACAACCTAATCAATTGATTTTCCCTCCTTACATATCACTCGACACCCAACCTCAATATTACTCACCTTATTATACCACCTAACACGGGGGATAGGACACAGGTACCTATGATCAAAGACAACTAGCCTTTTCATGTACTCCACGCTCAATGGCCCTGTCTCACAACCAGCCATAAAGGAGGACAGAGCGAACTGATGAGCAGTACAGTACACACGCCCTTTTGGTCGACAGCCGGACGTAATGTCTACACCAGAGATGGCGCAAGGTGGCGTACGCTAAACGAGCCTTCAGTATCTGTGCTGAGTTTTCGTCGGCGATCAACCAGCCGGCACTGGTTGATGCGACTTCCAAATAAGTCAAGTGGTCAACACACTCAGCCACCACTTCACCCCCTATCTTTAAGCTAGGAGTCAATGCAGTTTAGTCTTGTAGCATCATCTTACAATTTAAATCAGTGAAGTTATGTGCAGCATTTCAAAGCAGTTTTGTTTATATACTGCAACATAAGCCTACATCTCAAGCACTTAATCAATGGGCAACAGTTTTGAAGTAGACTGTTACTACTGAAATGTAGACAGTAGCTAAACTATGAAGTAATTTGATGGATGGTGACCAGTAATGGAATACAGGATGTGCATTTCGTCCTATTTCAGACTCGTCATTTGAATGTGACTGCATTCCCCAGTGAGTGATGGCGTCCCTGCCGAAACTCAGGCCTAATACGCATTGTTTTAAAGGCTAAAACATTGTCTACTAAACCACTTGAGCCACTTCAGTCCATATCAATCAACGGAAAAATCAAAATCGACTTAAAAAACAAATAGCAGCTAAACTAGGTCCATAATAGAATCTATATTATCTACTTCAAATCAAATCATCAAGACAGCAGAAATCAACTTTTATAGATCACTAGACTTATATAGCATAGGTTAAAGGTCATCATATTTACTTTTTGGACATGACTACCTAAGCCATGGACTTCACGTGAATGTATTCTGAAAATATTGAACAATGTGATATTTTACTGTGTATAGTAATGAACTATTTAACTTAAAACTAAATCAATAATACTTGAAGAATAGAAACTCTTCTTTAGTAAATTGACACTCTAAAACTATACTATAAGCGCATAAAATGACACATATTAATTTTTTAAAAACACGATTAATTTGTTTATTTTGAAAGAAACACTGTGAGTACAATTCATCTTTCTAACGTTTTTACTCATATTAAAATGTAGAGATAACATAGTCAAAATTCCAAATAAAACTGCATACAACACATATCATTCACGTGTCAAACCACCTCTGTTACATAATTTATACCACGTAGGCTGAATAAATACATGAGCCATGAATAAGTAAAGGTTAAGACGTTGAAAATTGAAATAATAATCCGTAGGAATGAAATATTTTAGACATTTTTTTTCTTTGCTGTTGAGAAGAAAACACATTTGAACAAGAAACCTACAAGACAACAGTATCAGCTGAAAAATTGATTGATTCCAATAACGAGTATTTATCATGTTTTGATCACGTGATCATGGCGGACTAGAGATTAATAGTACAAGAATGAGAATAATAGACGTTGACTTCTTACCAAGGAAATTGCTGTTTAAAAAGAAACTACGCTAAAAACCTCGACTAGAGTATTGTCAGGAATAGATATTTTGAAATTCGTTTCTGAGTGGATCATAGAGCTTCAAGCTACAACTTTGGAGTTCCAGTAGTAGTGATATTTTTTTACAGGGTAGGGGCTAGTAGCCCCACCCTCTACTGCTCCTCTTTACTGGGTTTACTGCCAGCTTGGCGAGGTCTGGGGATCAAATCCCAGACCATCTGCATGGTTTAGAATCGGTATTTACCAAATATTGACAAGAAGCACTTATATCTCTTACTAGACCTAACTTATGCCAAAAACTACGACCCTTCAAAGAGAAGAAGAAATAACCAAAATTGCACTTAGTAAATTTAAACGATTGGCGGGTATAGAAATGTTTTTAATCTAACGAATTACTGGGAGAATGACCTTCCGTAATTTCGAAGCAGCTTGGACTGTTTCATTCCAGCAAGTATTCAACATCTGGGTGTTCACAACAACATTTTAAAAGTTTAGTTCAATGGATGAAGAAGTCCAGGTGACGTAACTATAAGTAATCGATACAACGTCCTCATAAATCATTACATGTGTTACGTATGCCTAGTCATCGCCTTCCTCGACAATGGGCAATGTTAGCTGATATAGGATGCATCAGGCTGGAAAAGAGCTAGCGGCGGTCAAACCAAAAACATGGCACCAGTCAATGAAATCTACAACAGTTAGTTTAAGCCACTTAGGAAGGCGTAGACTTCCTGGTTGGGGTCCTCGGGACGGTAAAAACCAATGGTTGGAAACAATTGGTGACATGGCTCAAAATCGTTCTCAATGACTAGCGCAGATGCATCCACTCCTTGTGACTTATGATTTCCAATGAAACTATATTGTTCTTCGTTACTACTATTCCTTTGTCTCACACCTCTGTTTACCGTCTCTAATATGCATTTCTTCTACTTTCTTCTCTTGCTTTGTGTGCTACATGGAGTGTGGCGACTTGAACTGCTGCACATATGTGCAAAGTTCTATGTCGAATACAGACAGACAGACAGACAGACCTCACAAATCATTACCTCAAAAGAGTTAAGTTGAGGAAGATGAGTATAAATTAAAACTTTCATTCGTTTTATGAAACACGCTCTCTGCATACTTACAGTCAGTTCACTGACAAGGTTATTACCATATGAAGTGTAACCATCACTAGGACTTTCCAAAAATTTATCAGGATCAAACTTAACAGATATAGGTAGGGAATTCAACCTCATTAGAGGGTTTTTATTAGTTAACAGTATGACAATAACATATACAGCACTTTTAAAATAAAACATGATAAATGTGATAAAATATACGAAGGTACTAACCAAAATTAGTCTCCTATACTAACCGCATCCTCTATATAAGTATCGTCTTGATTTCTCTTTATGTGAAACAAATACACATTAAAATTATGGGTTTTCTAAGTATTTTGGTCAGGAATCGACAAAGTTAGAATTAGTGAAAAGAAAACACGTAGTTCAGCAAAGAAGCTGTTTTCGGCGAGTTCATTTTCCTATTTAGCTGTACAATCGCATTTACATACATACAATCTGTTTTTCATGAAAGAGAGTAGTAAGAAAAGTGTTGTCATAATCATAGTTGTTAATATTGGTCCATACATATGAGGAGTTGAATAATTGTATTACAGTTACGTAATAACATAAATAATTTAGTGAATGAGTTGTGGTTAGGATACACATAGAAACGAAGTAAAATATGGGACTGTGTAAGAGCTCTAAAGAGATACAAGAGTTATAAGGAGTTAGAAAAACAAGCAAACAAAAACCAAATCAGTAAAAATCAACAAGGCTGTTACCATGACAGTAAAAGTGGTTGAATAATTTTCTTTTGTATGCAGAGCTCCGGCTTTCTATGACTGAATGGTTAAAGCTTCATTAATGCAAAGGAGACGAAAGAGTATTGCCCTTAGCAGGTTGTTTTTCAGTTTGTGAATTACCTTAGAGGAGGCATTTGTTGAGGTGGAATGATCAGTGTTGACAAGGTGTTTGAATATCGCACTCCTTATAAAGCCACTACTACCTTTCTGCATCCATGTGGGATAGTGTTTCTGAACTCTTTATACAGCATATGTATCGAACGATCAATATACCTGGTTCCACAAGAATAAGTGAACTGATTTATGTACACAAAAGTGGTCAGATACAAGATCGTGTCTTTAAGACTTCTTCAGATCAATGGACAACTGGAAAACACAACACTTAGGGTTGTTGTTGTTCTTCTTCTCAAAGATGCTTAAATTCACGGGTTACTTACTGAATTCCAGCCAAAGTGGGTGAATGGTCTAAAGACTGACCTCTTAGTCTGAAGTTGCTGGATTCTGTTCACCGTGGGGTCATGAATGCGTATTTACTTACACATTTCCGAAATAGGACGCAAAAGCCGTCTAGTGCTCCCGAGGTTTTCAATGATTCTCTCGCAAAATATACATTGAAACACATATGACTTTGAAGACATTAATCACACACTCGATATACACAGAATATAATTGAAGTACAGAGAAAAAAAAACATATTTCCACTTCAGTACCAAGCCCAATTTATACGATAAAACTAGTATCTATTTAAAAAAACATATAATTTACTAGAAGCTTGTAATTAAAACTGCAAAAATAAACAAAAACAATTACAAAACCATTTTACCTGGATGGGCAGTTCACTCAGTTGATTTTGATCAACATTCAAATGAAACATAGCAGACAAATCGCCAATAGATGATGGAAGTGTCTGAAATGGTTAACCAATGAAGAAAACAACAAGGCATAAAATTAGTAGTCTGTAACGAAAATAAGTTTGTCTATTATTTGATTGCCAAATGACCGAGTGATAATCGATATGATACAAACTATTACATGAGAAAAAAATAATTCCGACTTTGATAAATATATTACATGTACGCTGACTAAAACACTCCAATGGTGACTAATAAGTTAAAAGGTTTATGTATTGATTTTGTATATATTGCAAATGTTTAAGGAATTCAGATAATTTGAAATCAGAGTAAAAACCTGAAGACAGCCTTGGTGTGGCTGTCTTTTCTGAGTTGGATGGTTTAGTTAAGACGCTTTCATTGTTTTACTAGGCAACGTCTTTAGTGCTTACTTTAATTTTTTCACCTTATGAAGTTCCGAGTGGAACATAGGGCTTGTAGCTTGAGTTTTGAAGTCCCGATAGCAGTGGTGTATTTTACGGATTTAGGTTGTAAGCCTCACGCCCAAACTCTTCTCTTCACCGAACCTACTATCGGCATAGAGAGGTTTAGACGTGTATAGACGGGAAATGAAATCCCAAATAACGTGAATGGTGGGCAAGCATTTCTATCACTGAATCACCGACGCAGATAAGGGTGATTTCTTATCATTGTAACTGCGTCGGTGGCACAGCGGTTAGGACTCTCGCCGACCATGCACATGGTCCGGGGCTCGATTCCCCGCCGACGCACACCTGATATCAATGGTCGGCCTGCGAAATTTGGGCTACCGATATCACATGCTGAAAATTCCATACCTATACCAAAAAATACGGTGCGGAATCAAGCCGTAATAAAAAAATATCCCCTCATTTAATAAAACATTGACTTCAATCTGTCATGCTACCTAGATGACTAAACTATACTTAAGTTCTACGAAATCCTTCTTCCAGTCTTCTTCAATTGACAAAAACATGTACTAACTTTATAACGTGTTTCTCTTCTTTTTCTTCTATATAGTGGTTTCAGAATTAAAACTTAATATTTATACATAAATGAACTTTATCAGTAGACTATGTTTATTTGATCAGCTGGTATTAGAATTTCGTCTACCTTGAACCTCCAGAGATGTGGTTCATAGGTCCAGGGGCTTGATTTACAACTATTGGGTTACAGAGTTCGAACCCTGATCCATCTAATGTTTGGCCAGTTACTTAGTATCATGAGCCTTTACATAATATATGTGGCATCTGGCTAATTGCATACAATTGCGACTGTTTTACGTTTTTCCATATTAGTTTGTTTATTAGATGTATCACACAGTCAAACTATTATTTACTGAATGATGTTTCGAACACAATTTATTGTTCATAAAGCATATCAATTATAATCACACGACTTCGAAACTTGAGTTTTATAGTTTTCCTTGTTCTCTCCTATTTTTCGTCGTTGGGGTAGTAGAATTTTCCAGATATCTGGGTGGACAGGTGTTGAATCATTCCTATTACATGTATTTGCAGTTGATTCGATAAACAAAGCTTTGTTCGAAACGTCATCCAGTAAATAATACTGTTTTACTGTGTGATACATCTAATAAACAAACTAATATGGAATTACTTACTACCACACTGCCCAAGTTTTACACACATATTAATGTTTTACGTTTGAACTTTGAACTTCAATTAAAATCTGTTTTAGAATTACGAATGACAGTCTTCAACTAATTCTCAAATTGATAAAGAATCCATTGGAGTACTCGTCATGAAATAATACTACTTATAAAAAAGAAACATTGAAAGTCCTGCGTAGGTAGTTATCGATGACACTAGATGGCAATGAACTTATATCGCTAATTGATAGGAGTTAAGATTCATGTGGCTGAATGGTAAACGTGTATGCCTCGAAAATTTTATAGATTATGTCCAAGACCTGATTGAGTCAGGGTTGTCAACTGATGAAGAGTTCAAAAATTGGATGAAGCAGCTATCCAATGTTGCATGATTCTAAAGGATTTTCAACATGATTTCAATTCTACAGAAGGACATTATGTTAGTGTCTCACACGCTTGTTTGAACTCAGTGTTGTTTGAAATCAATTACCCGGAATAGAACTTTCATGTGCCACGCGAAGAGCCACATTTATCGTGTGAGGGATGATGATACTTATCTCTAATTGCTCAAGCTGCATCCGATGGAGCGGGACTCGAATCCATGACCCATTTGGCTGAAACCGAGGTTTCACACACACACTTACATCTGAAAAACTGACAACTTGACCGTCTATTTCCAAAATACAACCGACAGCTTTTTTTCCATTTTTAAAATGTAGTCTTAAGTAATTGTCAAAAGGTTGACGGTAAATTTTATATTGTTCAAAGGCAAAATACCTAAGTCATTAAACGTAAATAAATCCAGATATTCCCACTTTGTACTTATGTATTAAATGCCATATTAAGAAATCCTCTCTATTACATATTCGGCAAGAGAATTTGCTATGATTACAGCTGACTTTCTAACTTACAAAATTATTTTTAAAAAACTATTTGCTCTATGCAAATCAAGCAAGCGGATAGATACAATGCAACAACAACAACAATAACGAAAAAAGAGATAATACAATCCACTAGTTTAGTCGAATTCTTTCCTGGTGAATATGAATGAAAACTGAAGGTAACTCTGATGCCTTTGTTATTACTAATCAATGTCTGCAGGCATACAGACATTTCTGACAGAGTATTATATAATCTGCTTCATATATGTCTAATATACTCTCCAAATTCTACCAATTTACATTAAGGTTAATAGACTAGATGTAAAGCAGACTGAATATAATGTATGAAGTGTCTGACAAGCTATGAATTAAACAAAAGGTTATTAGTATATGCATGAAATAAAGAGAAATGTAAGAGAAAAAAAGCCTCTATATAATGAACTATTTGTATTAGTACTTATCAATTTCTATCAAGCCTCTATTCACTTAATGATATCACAATGGACAGGAAATAGTATAGTGGAATTAGTTCGTGATTTGCTGAGATACAGATTGGTGCGTATACCCTGCTTAATTTTAAAGAATAATAGAATGTGAGATTACCTTATTTTATTTAGTATAAACACGCACAATTTGCAAGCCTTTATTTGACGCAATTCTTATTATTTGTCTTTGTTTTTGGCTGATTCCTACTCATAGTGCTTCACTTTACGATTGTGCGATTGGGGACTATTAAATATATATATCAGACGAACCTCAAGGGAAATCTACTTCAGAAGAAATGAACACCGCGAAGCCTCTATTCAACCATTGAAAAATCCAACGGCACTAGAAAAGCTTGAAAAATCATCAACCACAGGTCGACAAACTATAAAATCAAGCCACAAGATGGGCTTGCATAATGTCGCAATCATTCAGAACAGGTTCAAAAAGCAGAAAGAACGTTTTATATCACAAGAACTACATGAAATGGAATCCAAAATCGTCTGAATAGGAATAACAGATTGACGCAGAATTTGATCAGAATCGAACACCCTCTTCCCATAAAGAGGCAAATCAACGAAAATGCGATATTTTCAGGATTTCATCATGAGCTGACATTGGTTAGAAAACCATTGGAAAACCTGAGAGTACCGGACAGGTGTTTCGTCCTAGTGTGGGACTCTTCATCAGTACGCACCCATCACCAAGGATCGATCCCAGGACATTCTAGTTACATGACAAGCTCGCTGGCCATTGAGCCACTGGGACCCGATCCAATGACCAGTGCGTAAATTCCAACTTCTACCAATTCATGATATGGCGCGATTAATAGCGAATGTCATTGCTGCAGGGTGTTTGTCCTCACACCCAGGTATTCCGACGGTCCTCCTCTAACTGATGACAGTTCATGAAGAAATCCTGAAACGAATCAAATCCCTGAAAACCAACACGTGAATAACAAATGTGATAAGCAGTTTCATTATTTACACACATGCTCTTTTTTCAAATTATGCATTTATCAAATCCAATAAGCAACATATGGTTTGTTACCATTATCATTTCATCCACTTGACAATGTGACAATTATCTCATACTGAAGAACTACTATGATTGCGTTACTGCACATAAGCTGAGATTTTGTAAAATCTAGTTAAATATTACTTTGATAAAGCTATTAGCAGTCAATGGTGAAATGTCAGTAGAAATAATATCGTGTAGTTTTTCATTCACTGAAAAATACAAAGACTGATGTAAGACTTGGTCACTGCGGCAGAGGTATAATCCCATTATAAAATGAATTTATCAGATTAAAGTTCACAGTGATAAAGTATAATTTACCGATGACGTTTCAATCACAATTTACTGCCCATAAAATCATATCAAGGCGATACTGCTTGTGAGCTTTCAAGTTAAAAGGTCTAATCAGAATAGGTAAATGGCACGAGAAGCGATATTTCTTAGTTATTTGTATCTCCTCGTTGATTGACAGCAATCAATGCCTATTAATTATATTGTCAACAAGATAATCTAGTCAATTAAGTACTTTCGATCGATGATAATGCAATGCTGGTTGGAGGCTTTACTGAACACTTTGATTGTCTATATTCAGAAGTATCGTTTAGGTGGCCAAAGAGAGCAGGATGATTACAAAACTGAAAATCAAAACAATAACCTATTTCTTTAGCCGCTAATAACCTGTCGCACCTGTGGTCATTGTACTACTTATTTCCTAATTTCTCTACCACTCGAATATATACTCGAATGTATACTGTGTGAGCTAATGCGAACATTATTCCTTCTGAATCACATATACTGACTCTAGCGAATTTAGATTAGTTGTAGATACTGTTAATTAAAATAACTGTCCAAGTATTGGTTTGTAGGGATTTGGTTGATTGGTTACAGGATTTCATCATGAGCTGACATCAGTTAGAGAACCATTGGAAAACCTGGGAGTACTGGACAGCTGTTTCGTCCTAGTTTGGGACTCTTCAGCAGTACGCACCCACCACCAGAGTTCGAAACCAGGACATTTTGGTTACAAGGCGAGCTCGTATACCATTAAGCCCCTGGGACCAGATCCAATGGCCCGTGAATTCTAAATTCTGCCAATTCACGATATAGCGCAACCGCTAGCCAACGTCTTCGGCGAGTATTTGCCCTCACACCCGACCTGCTGCACTCTACTGGTCACGACTTCTCACTGGAACCCCAGGTAACTACCTACCTGAATAGGGCCAGTCGCCAGTGAGCATCTCATTGATATTCGTCCTAAAATTGTTGGATTTCTGAAGTATTTTTTTAAACGCTGGCCATTAATTCTCACTGATGGAATTATTTGCATACATGCAATTTACATACACACAGTGGCTGCATCTGGAAATAATCGGAGGTTAACTCCAACTCATTCTATCCAAGAGAATGAGAATTATCATTGAGATTACATCTGAAGCAGATAGTACAATGATGAACAACCTTGATGAACTTTAAACAAATTGAGGCGAGGACTTTGAAGCTTTAAGACTACACTTCCTGTTGAAAATAGTAGTAGATACAACAAATTTACATGAAAGTTTTTTTCTCTTCTCCTTTTTATGTAAAACAAACAAAATTACACATTTTTTACTTACAGACAAAAAATTCTCTGTCAAATACAATTCTTGTAAATTTGAGCAACTGAAACAAACATGAGAGAAATGAAAATGAATCTTTAATAAACCAAAAGTTTGTAATGAATTAAAAACGACACAATGGACTGACTGACTGACTGTTAAAATTACCCAACCAGTTAAACAGTAATTAATGACATAAAATCTATAATATTGTAAGATGATATCATAGATAGATAGATATATATAATGAGATAAAACTGAATAGAAGTTATTGAAATGAGAGAGAGAGAAAATAATAGCAAGGCTAACAATGCAGATTTTGGTCAGGTAAAAAATCAAGTAGACAACGAATGACTCCATTTCACAAAATGCTCTGCTAGACAGTGAAATACAGTACATAATAAATAACTCATGCTCTCACTGATAATATTCTATTAGACCATATATGTATGTTAACTAACAATCGAATAAATGAGTTCAGTATGCATAAAATTACATCAAAACGCTGTGCTACTCAGTTAACTTGTATAGTTTATTCAAAAGAATGTAGTATTACCGACGGCAGAAGTTTGATAGAGTTCACTTAAATATAGGTGACAGTACGGATGAGGATGTCAAAACCTGGATTGGAAATGCAAGGCAGTGGAGATTCTCCACTCTGAAATCAGTTTGGAAGTCTGTTGGGTTCAACATAAAGAACAAGATTCGAATTTTCAACACCTGTGCTAAGATAGTTCTTCTATGTAGGTCAGAAACCTGGAAAGCGCGTCAAGAAGAGTATTTCCAACAGGTTACAGATTTTTATCAACAGCTGCCTTCGCTCCACATTGAAGATCAAGGGGCCAGAAACAATTAGCGGCGAGAAACTCTGGAAATGAACCAATCAGGAGCCTATTGATCAATAAAGGTGCCGAAGAAAATGGAGATGGACTGGGCATGCGCTGAGGAGACCATCGGGTGACATTGTGCGCCAGACACACCCTCGAGTAGGAAAAGAAAAGTTGAGCGTGCGATGGTGACATAAAAGAGATCATGTGAGGAGGAGGAGAAGAAAGCGTGGAGCCGCGTGAGGAGGACCGCAGAGAACAGAACAAAGTGGAGATATGCTGTTGACACCGTATGTTTCACTCGGAACCCACGGGAATAACAATAATTACAGGCGGACACGTTAACGAATACTCACAATCTGTGCAGAATCAATACTGTATCGTTGTTATTTTCTTCCATATGGTGTGGAGGAAAGCTAATTAGAACCCAGTTACCCAAGGCATACTTTTTATATAACAGGCTACCAGCCCTCCTACTCACTACTGAGGGCTGACGACAGTCTCTAAATGACATGTGTGAATATTTAAAGGGATTAAGCTAGTGAAACGTATTAATTCTTCAATGAAAGAGTTGTAATTGCCCAAATTCAAAAGCATAATGGACAAGAGCTATCCAATAATAAAACAACTGTTCAGCAAGATGGAGGCAGGAATACACACTATTCACAAAATATTTTGACATTTAAAGTTCAGCCTGAAACCTTTTGAAAGTTCAGAAATACGAAACAATCAACAGTCTAAATGACGTATATCAAGTTTGAAACTGTATAGATAGATTACCATCACCTACAGACCACAGTATCAAAGTAAACTCAATTGACCCGACATTAGAATCATGAAACACACGTACGTGAGGTATTAGAACAAAAAGAACACAATGGAATAATAAAAACAAAACGACTTAAACTGTATAAGCTATTCACAAAAAGGAAGTAAACTATCGATTGGAGAAAAAACAAAAATTATAATTAGTCAATTTACTGGTCATCAGGTTTCTACGATAGCCGGCTTAAAAACAATTGTTCACATACTTATCAATCATAAGGTTAAAAAATGATTCCAGATAGAGTAGAAATACAAGCTGATAATAGTCAGTGATTGATTGCACGACATCGAATGTGATGACTCTTTTTCTACATCTGGTAATCAACAGCTAATACATACCTTATGTATAAAAGTGACCTACAGGACTCTACGGACTTACACCACTTTTCTCGAATGGTTCTACCATGGTAAAAATCCTGATTGAATAATAGTGGCAAGCCTAAGAACGATTACTGTTACACTGTAAATTGCCTGACTAGAGGTTTTCTGAATCCCAAGATTCAATGGTTTGAGATTCTTCCTGCTACAGCTTGAAATAGTTGATTCCTTATCATTTCTAAAATTCTCAACAATCGCATTATTCTTCACCAAAATTATCCTCTCCTGAACTGATATCTGTTTCAATCAAATGGCCTATGAATCTCAACTTCTGCCAGTTCCCAGTGGAATAGTGGTCTACGATCTCACTTTTTAACGGAAAGGTCCTGGGTTCGAGCCCCGGTGGGTGCATGCTATGGAGAGTCCCAAACTAGGACGAAACGGCTGCCCAGTGGTCCCACGTTTTCCATTGGTTCTCTAACCAATGTCAGCTTATGATGAAATCCTGTAACCCATCAAATCCCTGCAAACCAACACTTGACTATTATTACATTACTCTTCTTTCCTTTCATTTGCCGTTTTTTGAAATGTGACAATTCAAACTGATACGCTTCTGTCCAAAGTTTTGACTTCATAATAGATGTACAATTACTAGACTCATCAAATTTATGAGGTCTACAAATCGTTGATATCAGAGAATGTTTGACACTTACTATCTTTATAATATAAAAGAAGCCTTTGTCATTATTGCGAAACTAGTATTTTACACGTTTGATCAAGGATTGACACTAGTTAGAAAACCAGTGAAAACCAGGGTGTGCCGGATAGACATTTCATACTAGCTCAGGACTTCTCAGGAGTAAGTACTTATGGTCCCACTGGCAAGGATCGAACACAAGACCTCCAGGTTACAAGGCAAGCTCGTTGACCGTCTAGCCACTGAGACAGAAATCAATGGCTCCATGTGCGATTTTTAACACCACCGCCAGTCAGACTCAAGCCAGTGTTTAAAAAATCGCTTTATTAATCTAGTATGACAAACATTAGCAGTAGTAGCAGCACTGTTTCATAAATTCTACGTAACCAAATATGAGTGGTATTCAATGGTAGGCAGAAAACCAAAAACTGCCTAGATAACACTAAGTACACACATCATATACAAACAAACAAATGCTAATGCATAAATTGAGTGCAAATTCATAAATAAATAAGAAAGTATTAATGTATTTCTAGAATCTGTAAGCCTTCTTACCATGAAGCTATTTATATATACATAGATACAGTGCTTAACCTTAACCTAGTTATAATATAAATCTATAAATTTCACAATGAAGTTTCTTTACATGTCTACAAAACAGTACCATACATGGTACCCGTAAAATGCCAATGTCAGAGATAGTGGTAATAATTAATCAATACCATTAGCAGAAAAAACAGCAACTACAGAGGATATAAGAATAATTAAGAATATAAGCGAAGTTAATTGAAATCATATAAAAGGAAAAAAATAGAAACAATGTTGAAATCATAAGTAAATTCCCCATGAAATTCCATCATAACACCCTAAACAACTACAAAGGGCTCTCTTCACCGATTTTATTATTATTATTGTTATTAAAGTACTCATAAAGAATGTGAAATACCCACACCACAACAAACAATCGAACGATTAACTTATTGATAGAGCTGGTTATGTTTCAAGTTTGATCACAGATTGACGTCAGTTAGAGAACCATTGAAAACCAGGGAGTAATAGACAGTTGCTTTATTCTAGCAGTACGCCCCCACGACCCCACCGGGGATCGAACCCAGGATCATCAGGTTACTACAACAAGCTCTCAGATCATTCAGCCACTTGGAACAGAGTCTAATGATCCATGAATTCTAACTTCTGTAGATTTTAGCACGACTACCACAGTTGATTATGCTCCTTCATGGAGAGGAGCAAGACTAAACACTGGAGTACAACAGTTAGATTCTACAGATTTCGACCCGCTAATTTTATCCAACTGTTTCCAATTTGTAATAATTCATAGTATTTTAAATATTAGTGGGACAAGATAGACAGCAACAACAGCAAAAAAAAAACAACCTAACATAAGTATGCATAACTTTAGATTAGAAAATAGGACATTACAGAACTTCACCTCAACAACCCACACAGAATAAACAGTCAGTACAGAATGGCATTATAGTAAACAAAACAAAAACTCATCAAAAGGTGGAATAACATTTAAGCAGAATTCAAGGGCATGCATAAGATCTGTGTAATATCAAAAAAACAAACAAACAAATAAATTAGCATCAATATGGTCACTTTTAAACCTTGTTAATGTGAAACTAAGAATACTAAATCGTAAACACTTAGAAAAGAGGCTATCTAACAGCTTGCACTTCTAATTGTCAAAGTCCTTGTAAGTTTGTGTCACCTTTTAGTCTTGTTCCTGCTAAATTGTTTACCGAAGAAAACTCTTGGTTAGTTTGTGTGTGAAATATATTTTGCCATGTTATTTGATACAGATTCACAATGTGATTGATTGATTGACTTGTTTTTCTCATCTCAAACTAAATTGATAGTCAAAATGCTGTGGTTAGTAGTACACTCGTCCTTCAATAGATAGTGGGATATTTTTTCGATACAGATAGCACACGATGGCAAGTACCAAACACACTTTTTGTGTTCACTTTGAGACCTTTGTAGTGTTCATTCTATTGAAACTTATATAATTGCACAAATAACCGAGGTAGCCAATACATTTAATCAGGTTATTAGTCTACATCATGTGACTCGTGGTTGTCTGGCGGGGTCAGTGGTTCTGTGGTAGGACGTTCTCCAACCACGAACGCTGTCCGGAGATCGATTCCCGGTCAACGCAATCTCAAAAGCTCACTTATTTTACTAGCCGATGGCAAGTTCAGAAAAGGAAGACTGGATGTGAGGCAACCAGCTCACCCCGTAAAAAAATCTCGGCTACTAAAATGTCAAGGCCTCAAGCTCATTGTTCCACTGGCAGCTACGAATGAAAAAAATCCGCATCATGCTGAAAATTACCTCAGCAATCAAAAACTAATACGAAATTAGAGGAATAAATACTAATAATTATATTACCATGAAGTTATTTCTGACTGGTTGTCACTAGCAGTGGAATACAGAATGAGTATTTCGCCTTTCTTTAAAACTCCTCAACGGAATGTACATGCTTTCCCAGTGAGAGTTATTCCTGCTGAGACTCGAACTCTGCACCCAATGTAACAAACGCCAAAAAATTGTCGACTGGGCTACAACAGACACCTCTTGTACAACGGATATCAGTTATTACTTGTTTCCTGGTTAATTTTGCATTTCTGCTTGATTGATTAGGTTGAACTAAAATGTTCATTCTCATAGCCTGATTGATAATGCTTTGGTGTTTGAAACAATGGGTGTAGCCCCTGAGTCTCAGTGGGAACCATCATCATTCACTACGAATGCAGACATATTCAGATAACGAGTCCCATATAAAACGAAATTAGCCCCAAAGAAGTGACTGCTGATGAAATCTTAACATGGATACGAAAAGCTCGTGTGGCATTGGCTAAGCTGCATCATCTCTGGCGTAGATGTGACGTCCAGCTGTTGACCAAAGGGCATGTGTACTGTACTGCTCATCAGTTTGCTCTGTCCTTTATGGCTGTTAGAGCTGGCCATTGAGAGTAGAGGACATGAAAAGGCTGACTAGCTGTCTTTGATCATAGGTGCCTACGTTCTATCTCCCGTGTGAAGTGGTATAATAGGGTAAGTAATATTGAGGTAGGTAAGGAAGGGAAATAAATCGACAAGGTTGTGAAGTTACATCGATTGAGATGGTTAAGAGATGTGTAACGCATTCCTAACCATCTCCTTCCTTGACGGTCATTGTTAGCTGACATAGGGATCGATGAGGTTGGAAAAGAGCCAGTAGTGGTCAAACCAAAGCATGGAAACAGTCTATGAAATATTTAACAACTAGTTTAAGCCACGTAAGGAGGTGCAGACTTCCTGGTTAGAGGTCTTCAAGATTCTAAGAAACAATATCTGGAGACAACCAGTGATATGGATCAAAGTCGTTCGCAATGACACAGATGGCATTCACTCTTAGTGACTTCTCATATCCATTATACCCTATTGTTTCTACATGCTACTATTCTTTCTCCCACACATTTCTGCTTATCATCGTTCTTTTGAGTGTCGTTTATTCCCTCTTTTGTCTTCCTTTGTGTGGTGCATGCAGTGTGGCAATTGGAACTGCTGCACCTCTGCGCAAAGTTCTATATTGAAACCAGTCAGTCAAGCAGGACAAAATCCGCGTCCTGGTTTCTAATGCTAATCACCACCAACTAAAATTAACTTCACATTAGGCCTTAGAAACTGCCGAAGCGTCCGGACTAGGAGCCCATATGTCAACAGAGACCGAGGACTCCGATCCAACATAACCAAGCAACAGGAGATACAAAATTAACCTGGAAATTACATTACGAATTGTAAAAATTGTAAAAATGAAAATAAATTTTTTCAGATGCACAATATTTAAGTATTAAAGATTACGGAGGAAATAAAGTATGGATAATGAAGATCACATAAACAAGGCCACTACGATACCATTGAAACAGTAGAAGATGAGACACTTGGTAAAGGAATTTCTATTCGGAATTCGGTATTTTTGTATGGCGAAATTATATACACCTTATCTTCAACGCGCTATTGGCACAGATCTTCCGTGTTGTGCTACTTCTGGCGTTCATACTGTGTTTCTTTGCGTTTCCTTTCATTTCTCCCATGTATCTCCGCAACGCTGTATCATTTGCTTTCTCTGACATCAAATCTATCTCCTTCCTATTTGATGTGTTTTATGCCGATGAACATCTCTTCATATACTACTGATAAACCTTATCAGTAGCACACGCCAAACTATTTTATATATGTCGGAAATTTTAAAGTGTTTCTCATTTTCCTGTTAACTGCTTTCCACTTAATTTAGATTTATTACGTTAACACTGAATGAAATACTGAAAAGCCGACTGGTAAAAACAGTCTGGAAACAATGAACACATTTCATTGTCTAGTGTATTATAAGTCAGCCGGTAAGAGTTTAATTGTGAAAGTTAACACTTTTAGTGTACAGTAGATTTAGCAAACACAAAACAATCAGTAAACAAATAAAGGAAGTTTTAAAGAAAATAATAATAATAACAGACGGACAAGGTGGTTATTTCGCAAAAGCTGGGGTAAGCATAGAATAGCTGCTACACACACACACACAAAAGAAAAAACCCAATGAGAGTTGACTAAAAATTCTTTATATCAACTTACTTGCCTACAGTAGGCGTCAATGTTAACAGTCGATTCTGATTGAGTTTCAAGATTATCAACTTTTTCAAATCACCTTACGAAAGAGAAAAAATAAATGAAAATAACAAGGAGAAAAAACAAACAAACAAACAATGGTTGATAAGATTACAACTTTTAACTACAACTTAGTATTATAATACAGATTTGAAACAGTACCATTATTATCTACTCTGATAGCCAATATGTACACAGTTATTGTCCTCCTATGTATGTTATAGTGGGACCAAACTCTTCATTGACAGTTGGATACGTAATGGAATAGTAGCAAGATCAACGTTACGTTACAATTACAATGAAAACTTATGGCAAAAGTACGTCAATGTTCATAATCTTAATGTTGATAATCTTTGTATTTCAGTATTACAGGATAACAATAAAAAAGAAGCATAAAAAGAGTGGGAGTAAACTTGTTAAACGATAGTTATTATACACACTTGAGAATAAAGTCCACAGAAATTCTCACTTCATTGAACTTTGCTTTGCACTTCAGATACTCATTGAGCACTTTTAATGTAAACAGTTGCTCCAAAGATCTTAATATGGCGAAAAACCTCATTTAGACATTTACCTTCTAAATTGTGGTGAGAGCTGGCTGCTAGCCAAATTGGTAGACAGTAATTTACGTCAATGTTTACGTCCCCAATATTGTTCGTGAGAAAAATAAGAACAAAGACTGATTCAACAACCAACACAGCAGACTTTGCGCCAGCGGATACAATTAGCATATAGACAATCTGACATTCAAGAAACAGTCACAAAGAGATGAGAGATTAACTTTCAGTGAGAAACAACCAATCAGAAGACTGTGTTTTTCTGCTAACAATAATCTATAATAATGTACATGAAAATGTATAAATATGTGTTGATTTCCTTAATAAACGATCTGTTGCCTGGCTCTTGTCTTCTGTTGTCACAAATGTCTAAATAAGGATTTTCGCCATATTGATGAATTTTATATCTGATTTAAAAATGACTGACTTTTTCACAGAAGCGCTTCAAACTGAAGCAGTCACAATTAGGTGAAACAGTGGGTGAAGATACACGGAAGGGAGGAATATTAAATGAATATTAGTGAAGGTTTTCAGAATCTTGAAGAAACAAATCTTCCAGTACATTATACGTACTTATCACGAAGATTGAGTGCTTAATGTAGGGAGAAAAAAGCGACTACACAACTAATACATACAGGATGGTTTACCCGACAATAATACGGTGATTAGAAGACGTAAACCTCGACACTATACTGTACACTTTTCAAATGAATTCGAAATGGCAAAGCAGCTGTTAGACTAGAAAACTTAATAGACGAAAATTCTGATCACACCATTTGAGCAAGGTATCGTGATGATAAAACGGAGTATTTTTTTGTCTCATAAGATTCGAACATATAGATGAATATATAAAGTAAAAGCCCTCTGGTTCATATATATTAATCGCGCAACGCGAGGAAATCAATGCAGATAAAATGTCTCACATTATCATGCGGACCCCAAGCAGAAAGTCTAAATCCTAAGTGTATGTTAAAGGTATAGATAATTTTATTGTTCATTAGCACTAAAACCACTAAAACCCACTAGTATATGAATTTGCCAACTTTCAGACTTCCCTGCTAATATTTTTTTATTTTGAGTTTTTATTTATTTTTATTTTGATTACAGCTTGATTCCACACCGTATTTTCAGTACAATTATGGAATTTTCAGCATGGATATCGGTAGCCCAAATTTACAGGCCGACCATCGATATCGGGTGTGCGCCGGCAGGGGATCGAACCCCGGACCATGTGCATGGTCGGCGAGAGTCCTAACCACTGTGCCACCGACTCACAGTGCATATTTTCCAATAACTTAACGAACCCAAATACTTTTGAAGTGGTAGTTTTTATTGCATAAATTATTTACATCGTGAGATGAACGGATAAAACAGAATACCTGCCTAAAATTTATCAACTCGTGCCGCTGTTATATAGGTTTGAGTAGAGGAAAATTAACAAAAGCAGAAAACCATTGGGAAACCTGCAGGGAGTACTGGACAGCTATCTCCATTGTCCTAGTTTGGAACTCTTCAGCAGCACGCACCCACAGGAGTTCAAACACAGGACCTTCTGGTTACAAGGCGAGCTCGTAGACCATTAAGCCACTGGGAACCAAGCTTGCCTTGTAACCAGGGGGTCCTGGTTTCGAACCCTGCTGAAGAGTCCCAAGCTAGGGCGAAACAGCTGTCCAGTAAACCCAGGTTTTCCAATGGTTCTCTAACTGATGTCAGCTCATGATGAAATCCTCCAGCCAATGAGACAAATATCCCTACAAAAACGGATACTTGAAAAGCAGAAAAAAATTTTTTTCTATTCCTTTGCCTTCCGCGTGGAAAATAAGGCTTCAAGCTTTCAGCTTCGTAATCTCAGTAACAGTAGCGTTATTCTCTTTTACGGAGTGGAGTTACTAGCCTTTCGTCGAATCTTTCCTCTTTACCAGGCTTACTATAGGCTAAGCTAGCCAGGTTTAAGAATTCCTCTGCCGAGGATCGAATCTCGGGCCATCACCGATGCACAGAAAAATGTTCAATTGAACAAGTATAATATAGATTAATAATAAGTGCTCTGTGCTTTATTCAAACTATTTCTCAAAATCAAAGACCGAAGCGAACCCCATTTGTATCTAACACCTAAGATTCTACACTTCATCCTTAAAAACAGGTTATGGTAATATACCTATGTTTTATATTTGGCATATTTACTAGGTTAACACTGATCAATAGTCAATCAATCTATCTGGGTGGAAGTGTGTATAATTTTCACCTCCATTGACCCAAAAAAGAAACATGTCATAAGACTGGGCCTTAATTTTAAGGGAAGGAAAATGTGCTAATAACTACAAATTTCTTCATTGATTTCTATCTTATTTGCATTTTTCTCAATTTGAACCTGTACAATAGGATTAGATTTCATTTGTGAAAGAATTCTGTCACCAACCTGAGATTGATGTATTCATAAATTATATAAGGTGAGAAATAATTACGGAAGAATTTTTCCCGATAACATGGATTTAGTTAATTAAAAAGCAATAAACAACATTTTCTTAAATTCGACCAAAATAACAACAATATATGGAGCAGGGAATAAGCGAACCCATTTTAAAGACGCGTTTATCCTGCTCTATGTGATATATGTATATATATACATATTTATGTATATATATGGAGAGAGAGAGAGCGAGTGAGGAAGAGGAAGAAAGGGATTATAAGATTAAGTGGGGCTTATGGACAAAAAAATCAAGGAAATTAGGTTCAAGGACACCGATTTACAGACCTTCGGCACATGCCACATTACCTAACCTGAAGAAAACATTCAATCTCATCTTTCGGGAGGTGCTCTGCAGCCGTTTAGTTGAGGTGGTGCCCGGAAAGTATTTAACATTGATCAACGCATTCTAGCTGGACTCACAGTACTATAGGCAGGCTGACATGCAGTTTTTATCTGAATTGATGACTACTTATCACGTTCGCCATGATTGTTTAATAGTACAATTTTGTAAAACAGTATTATTATAGTATTATATTGTCTATACCTCAATGATTCAGTGCTAGAATGCTCAGGGTTCGACTCCCGGCCAATACACGCCTAAGCCTAGCTTGATCGGCAGTAAGCTTCGTAAAGAGGTAAGGTTGAAAGTGGGGCTAGCAACCATACCCCGTAAAAAAGAAAAATCAACGCCACTGGAATTTCAAAGCTCAAGCTTGAATCTCGATATTTTACTCGGAACTCAAAGGAATCAAAAATATTATAATATTTAACAAGCTGTATTTCCAACTTCTAAGTTATTTAGTTGTTGTGCAGAAGAGAATTTAGTGATTCATAGCATACAGAAGAAATAGTCCTATTTGAGCGGAATCGCTGACGAAATGCAGTCGTCAACTGAACACACTGAACGAAAACCAGAATATGTTTAGCACACCTCACAATATCTATACCAATGTGTTGAAAAACATGAATGTGCCTGTACCACTGAAATTTATCTTGAGTTACATCTACTACAGTTACCAGCAGTTGATATTATGTTGCAATCTCTAAACAAGAAGCTGGCATACATACTTAAAACTGGTACAAAGACATTTTATCCTTATAGTATATCTTCATCTGTCGCATGCTACAAGGAACCACAAGTTTGCTTGTTTGAAGAAACAGCAATGAAGACGACAGGCATTTTAGTATATCTGTGATATTACACAATCATTAAAAAAACCACTTACTCACGCACAAAGTCACTGAGACAAAAGTCAGTCAGTTTTATTTTGAAAAATAAAGCTATTTACGTCTTTCTCAATGAAATATTAGATAGACACAGATAGTAATAATAATAATAATAAATTACATAATTTCAGCTTTGATACTTATTTTGTAGTGCTAATCAAGTGAACGAAATCATTTTTCTAGTGAAATTAATGAAATTTACAACGGTATTCAGTCCGGTTGTAATCATGAGGTACTTGTTTAGCTTTCTGTCACTGAATTATACATCATGTTACTAACAACAATTCACGTCTGAGGGCTAATAATGTCTACTATTTGGTTGTATAGATCGGAGTAATTGAAGTGATAATACTAATGAGTCACATCTTCATATACAATGACAAAACTCAGCCTATTCTGCCATGGTGCGTCAGCGAATCTTTTCAGTAGGCTAAATAGAGTACTGTAGGGGTGGGGGTGGTTAAATTCACGGCAAATTAAAACACCAACGAATGTCAACCAGAAATACAGAGGGCAGTTGTTTATTTGCAAACTTGGAACTCTCGTTGTCAGTTTCGCATATAACTGTATGTGCAACGAACGCTTTAGCTACTAGACTGGAATCTAGCGTCGTATTTCATTCAACTGTTGAGAGTTTGTGATACGTGATAATCATCCAATTTCACCAGCTAGTTGTCTATTCTCACTCTCCACTTCAGTAAACATACAAATCACTGTCATTGGAACCTTGAAATGATCATTTCAATATGAAGAATCCTTCTTAATTTTCAACAACCTATTTTTTATCTCAGTTGATGATGAATGCTCATTCGAAAGCTTCAGTATATGGCATTTTTACACTGTATGTTACCTATATCTGCAGGGAGCATATTTACTTACGAAAATTTGATAAGAAAGGTTATTCAGAAGTAAGAAATAGAATGTTCAAAAGTGATTTATTAATATTTCCCTACGATATTAATAAAACCATATTATCAGCCAACATAAAAATTTTTAAAAAATAATAAAAATCAATCAATCAATGAATATATTTACCTAGACCATTTGGTAAATGCGTTAGACTATTCTGTGATAAATTCAAATCTGATAAGGAGACCAGTCCAGAGATACTTTCAGGCAATGAAGATATTAAATTTTCTGATAAATCCAGTTGTTGTAAATTTTCAAGATTTCCTAATTCCTAGGTATTTAATTTTCAAAATACAAAAAAAAACAATAACAATAAAGGATGAAATTCAAGTCGATGACGGAGAAAAACCAAGATCGATTCGCATATCAAATTTAATAAATAATAATATTGCGGTACAATCACCTTAGTGATAAAATTGATCTCCAAAAAAAAGAAAAGAAAATGTAAAATCTTGACTGATACAATTGAAAGACGCATAAGCGAACAGTGTTGTTGCACTGTATGTCAGGAATTGGTAGAAGATGGAATGCATGGGCTGTTGGATCGGATCCCAGTAGTTGAATAGTCTACAAGCTCACAAGGTAACCTGAAGGTCCTGGATTCGAACCCCGATGGGCGCGTACTGCTGAATATTGTCACCAATTAAATCTCTCTCAGGTTTTACACGAACGTGTATGGCTTCATTGGCTATGCACATTAGAGAAAAGCCTGAGGAAGATTTAACTGAAAACAATATTTTGATTGGATACTATTAACTAGTGTGATGCGTTTAGTCCTTTCTTTTAGTGCAGACTGAATTCTATCAGTCAGGTTGTAATGTGGCCACCATTCTAGGTAGTTCACCATCACAGTGCACATTGATTTGATGATATTCGATAGTTGGAGGCAATCGGCAGGAAGCTTCAATCGACCTAGGTTTCGTACTAGTTAGCACTCACCAGTCAGCAAGGCGTATCTGCAACCTTGAAGGAAATCATGTCCCTTTTGAGATTCGAACCCGCGTCACCCAGTGCTGCAGTCAGAGACGTTACCACTGAGCTATTCGGGCTCGCGATTGACCTCCTGTAGGACTGTAGTGGGTATTGAAAACAATATTGCTGTTTGTTAATAATTAATACTTTTGAGCAGTTAACATAAATATAGGGAAATGTGAACTCCAATTAATAATTAAGTCATATTTTATTATTCAAATCAAACTGAAAGAAATGCGATAGGAATCACGATAACAATTTCTAAGAAATCTCTATAGCTAACAGCAATAACTAAATATATGATTCCACACTACAGAGCAACTGCTTTTAGATACAATAATATATTCACGACATCCTTGAAATGAGAGTACATAACCCCTGACACCATAAAAACAGGTTTTAAAAACCAGAAACCTATTCTTATAACTGGCAGTGAAAATCTCCACTTTTAAGGTGTTAAAGCAAAGGGTTCTAGATATTAAATGATGCGAAGTATCTTAAATCCTGGGCTCTAATGATAATAATAATAATAATAAGCACTTTATGCGTGAGCTAAGAAAGGCGAACGATTGCATTTGAAAGATTCAATTATATTTTCAAGTATTGGTTTTGTAGGGATTTTGTTTGATTGCATGGAGGATTTCATCATGAGCTGACATCAGTTAGAGAACCACTGGAAAACCTGGGAGTACTGGACAGCTGTTTCGTCCTAGTTTCGGATTCTTCATCAGTACGAACCCACCGGGATTCGGACCCACGGCCTTCTGGTTACAAGGCGAGCTCGTAGATTCAATTATAGTTGATTCAAAAATAGTGACTACAGTTTGTTCATTATATACACCACACTCACAACAATATCAACACACCTCACTCAGTCGCTCACTCACAAACACAAACATTCACCACTCACTTACTATACACTAGTAGACAACAAACAATTTTTTTTCCGCCATAAAACCAAAAGCTTCCAGTGGGTTGCTTAGATTTTATCAGAATTCGTACTAGTCTAAGTGATAGATAGATCAGATTTGATTAGAAGACATAGAAAAATCCATTTAAAAAAACCTATTTCATCCTACAAATTAACACGTATGAATTTAGACGAATTTATGCCTTCCATACATTTTGAATTATTAGACAGTTATCAAACGGTACTTTAAAAAAAGCAATACATAATTAAAATGTAATAATGTGACTCATAGTTTCATAACAAATTTACACTATATAAAATAAATATATGCTTCACAAACACTAATAAATAAAGCGTTTATCCATGTAAGACAAATAACTTCAACATTTTACGTATCGAACTGTGTTGACCGGAAATTTGTTTGAAACATTAGAACAGAACATTTTTTTAAGAAAAACAACGCAAAAAAAACGACTAATTGTTAACATTGAAAGTTTACAAAAACTGTATCTTACCACAGGTAGTGATCTTAATTCATTATCATCTACCCACAGTTCACTTAGTTGTGAAAGCTGACCAATCACAGGAGACTGAAAACAAATGAAAACAAAACAACCACTTCGTAAGAAACCTCGTTATACTGCCAATCGGAGTGGGGAAAAAAACCGAATACAAGAAAACTGATAAGTAAAATGACTAAAACGTTGTCTCACACGAAGTGTTACCTCTTTAACCGTGCCGTGGTAAAAAAAGATACCTAGTTCAACCTGCTTTTTACTGCAACAAACTCGTAAGAGACACTCTATAACCACTCAACAATAGTGTTATTAAAAGTAATAATAGTGAAACCTAGGTAACATCTACAAATGAGCGTACTAAGATTTACGCTACACATAGAGTGCGATAGCTTTCGACACTGCACGGCTGCATATACACCAACAGACGGAACTAAACTTCAACCCATCATGGAATGGCTGAAATTTTGGTGCCTAAATCTCTTCAGTGAAAAATCAAACCTTTCAAATTCAAAAATATGTTTAGATATCTTACCAGCTCTTGAAATTCATTAGCACCAAGATCGAGAAACTCCAAATGAATAAGATCAGCAAATGAATCCGGAATTGTTTTGAGACAGTTATCCCGAAGCTCCAACTTTTCTAGGAGTTGTAAACTGTATCGGAATGGTAATAAAAGCAATTATTAAAACTCATACAGAATTTATTAAATCTTATCTAATTTTGACAGAAGTTAAAAAAAATTAAACATCATGGAAACAAACTGTTGGTCCCTAAGTGGAATATACGTACGGCAATGTATGTTAATCAATAATCTGATTTTAAATTGCTATCCCATCTTTTAATTCATCTTTCGGGTGATGTTTTCCTCACTTTGTTAATGCACCAATTTTAGCAAATAATCCTAAAGTTAGTTTGGAGACTAGAATATGATCTCTGTGATTTCGTCAGTGGACGTTCAGAGCCACATAGTGAAGTACATTACTTCCACAACCTAAGCTACATAGTGAGTGCACAATTCTTTTTTGAGTATTCATTCCCATTGAAAAGCAAGTACTTGGTTCCAAAGATTACGCGGAAAGGCACCAACAGAAAAGCACTTATGAAATAAAGACCCTCAGCCATTTGATTAGAAAATGATTACTCAAACATCCTAGAAACATACGAAAGAAGTTATTAGCTGACGAGAATATTACAGGAGAAAAACCAATTAGTTTCAAGTGTTTAGTGAGAAAAGTGAATAATCTACATAGTCTTTGGCTTACTTTCGATTTTTTCCATATTTAATCACTAACATGCTCCTAACACTTATTACAGTTATAAGGTAGTAACCACTCTGCAGTCACGTGATAGGTGATCAGGAAGCTTGACAGGATGTATTTAAGGTTAGTGACTTAAAACTATTTTTTCAACTGGATGAAACAGGACTTAGCATTTGCCACTCAGACATAATCCCTTCATACGGATCTCAGTCAATATTTGTCTCCCACCTTCAAGAAAGGTGAAAATTGTATTGAGAACTAATCTGAACAAGCTAGTTCCTAAGGTTAAGGATCCCACAATTATATGACACCAAACTGAATTACGGAACAAGTGAATCAAAAAGTCATCAGATTTTATATATAACCGTATATTTAACCCATCATTTCATAAAAAAGGAAAACTTATGGGTACTGAAAGTAAATGTGTTCCTGAAATAAGGATAACACTCGACTTCGGTCGATATGAATAGTGGCGATGTTTCTAACCAAAACACGTCTCTGGTAAGTTCATCTCTTAAATGAGAACCATAAAAAGTAAACGCTTACAACCATGTACAGTGTATGATTTTCACACCAAATATACACAGTTTTTCCACTTGTATTCAAATTGATCATACAAGTACCTATATGTCTTACACATCTTCAAGGGGTGTTTTGACGGGAATTTTTAGCAGTTAAGACGCCAATGATTTACCATTTGTTATACACTTTCAACAACAATTTTATAAACAATAGTTTTTCAGAACACGAAGGCCGCAAAACTGCTATGTACTGACGCCCAGTTTCACACCAGTGACTGAAACAGTTTGCCACTTCGCGTACCTTGTAAGTTACATCAGATATGGTAGGTTGATGATGAATAGAATTTTAAAATATACAAAGATCTATATTATCTCCCGTCAACTTGCGTTGGCGACGTATACAATTACCTACCGGAAAGCAAACCATGTGTCATGAAATATGTTAAGAGCACCAGTTATTGTAATTGAATACAGAACTGGAAGATAAATATTCCATAGTAATGTGCAACTAAACTACACAATCATTTAGCCGCTCTAAACACTTAGCCAACGACGTAGCTGAGAATTTATGATATAGGATAACAAGATCTAATACATCAATGATAAATGCATTCATAAATGAATTACGAAGCCACAATGGACAAGAAATTACAGTTGCACTACTCAGAAATTGTAACTAGGAAAACAAGTGCCATTTGAGTAATGAGACAGATTGAAAATGTGAAAAAAGCGTAAAATACTAACTAATAGTCCAACTTTTCCTACACACTTTCAATGACCTACTTAGCTAATCGATTAGTGTTTGGAATTTTATTTTTTGTTGACTTTCCTTTTGATGATATCAGGCAAAGTTACTTGAATCAATGAGCATATTAGTATGTTATTTTATTTACGAAAACCTACTGTTTAGTCATCGAACAGACTACCACGACTATTTCAATCATTCTTAATAAATTTAAAAGAGCACTTAAGAAAATCTATGCAATGCAAGATCTTGCCTGATAATACTAAATATCTCAAGTCATTTTTATATGCAAAACAGCACATTATCATATTGATGAAAATATTTCCCTGCAAGAGTCCAATTATTTCTCCAGCTTATTTTCCAAGCTTTTTTTTCCGTACCAATGTTTATACATAATCATCGCTTCGCTTACCTAATTGAGTTTGAAAGAAGTTTCATCACACGACTATATATATACATATATATACATATATATATATATATATATATATGATTATATATAAGTCAAAGTTCGGATGACAGACATAGTGCTTCGTTCAACGGGTGCAAAATCACTAAGTCACATAGAAAAACAATGTTGAACATAAAAACAGACACGAACTACGACGCGCAAGTTAGTGATAATCTCAAAAAATAACTGAAAACCAACCTGCCAATCTCTTCAGGAAGTTCACCAATTGAAATATCATTAAGACACAAAACTCGTAGATTACGCAGTTGGCAAAACCCAGCAGGCAAGCTAAAACAAACCCAATTAATGCAAAGATTTTAAAAATCAGAGGAACGTAATCCTATTTATAAACCTAGAGATAATATTCAGCTTTGAAAATACTAAAGCTCAAGCAAAACCAACAGAAACGGAAGTCTTTTGACCAAGATATAAACTCGAAAGATAATAAATTAACTGCCGTATGAAAATGAAAAGATGGATGGATACAAGGAATTATTCTCAATATGAGTGGTGTTAAACACAAAAGTTTCAGATTTTAATAAATAACACAGTAATTGAGAATCTACCTCTGCAAAGGATTATTGCTCACATCCAAACTCTGCAATGAATCACAGAAACGAATACTTGCTGGGAGCTCGGATATGTCTGAGAAAATATATGAAAATATAATCTGATACATACCATTTCTACTAACATCCAGTTCAACAAGGTTGGAAAAGCTTCCTATCCCAGTAGGTAAACGAGTTAACTCATTATCACTCAGCGTCAGAAGACGGATTCGCTTCAGACGGAAGAAATTCTAAAGTAAATTTAATTAAAACTCATTAGCATAATGTAGTAACTACCTTAGGCAACTCTTTAATCTGATTAGCATCCAGACGACACTCTTCTAGAGTGCGAAAATTTCGCATCACATCATCCGGAACTTGTTCAAGCTTTGAATGTCGCCTGTCAATGTGATCTACATGCCTTCCACAAGGCCCAATGATTGGCAAACACTTAAACATTATGAGCCAAAAAGAAGGACTTTGAAACACCGCGCCATTGTGCAGTGAAGGTTTTTTGATTGCATTAGCCGAATAAAACTTAGTGTGATGCAGTTAGTATAACTGCTTCTAAACATATGAAAAAATTGACTGTTGTAGACTGTTTCAAATCGATATCAGAAAGACTTAGTAATAGGATGGTGTAGTCAGGGAGAAAAGTGTCATCTAATAACTTCCAAATTTTATAGATGATGCACGTACTCAGAGATCAGATACCATCTTGAGTAATGCATTACCCTTCAGGGTGGCGAGAAAGTGTGCTTGCACCAACGGTCTGAATTATGACCAGCTTTTCAGAACGACGGAGCTACTTGACAAGCTAAACAGTAATATCAATTCAGCATTTCCTGCAGTTTTATAAGGTACCTGTTAGATATGAATAATATATATACGCTCATCATGGGAATTTTGTGACCAGTTATTTGACGGAGCTACCATATAATTTACTGTAAAGTAGGAAAGTATCTCATTAACATTTGTTAATTCTACTTCAAGATGTTTACTTTGCCCAAGAAAATGACGAGGTATAATTTTAGCCCATTTCCAAGTGCGATTAAATGTCTTTATATTTGCTCAACACTTCATCCTATATAGTTGGTTTCGTTTGAGATGACTTATTTCACTTTCCCCTGCTGACAAGCTGTTTCATATACCTCAGACCAATATTATCATCCTTCACAGCAAAACAGTTCTTGCTAAGCTATATAAAGCCATGTGAGAGTTCTGGCTTTGAAGAAATGACTGTGGGTTGATAAGGTTCTTAGTAGTAGTTTGTATCCCTAGGGATTCACTCTTTGAAATGTCTTTATTCGATCATATCATCGTGGTTACTGATAAAGCAGGTTAACGGATTCCTTTTCGTGAGTATGAATTTACTTATCCTAAAACTCCAGTTTTTAAGGACATTGTTGACAGTTCCTTGGGAAGGGTGCTAATTACATTAGGGTTGGGCTCTTTATTCATGAGCCTATCGAGAAAGAGAGATTTCCTAATTTGGTTTTTCCACAAATATTTACCAGCATAACTTCTCTGGTATCTATAGTGGAGCTAGGAAGAAAGTTAATCAACTTAGTTTATTGTATAGTTAAATCGGACCTCAACATGCTCTAGAAGATAGCATTTTAGTCGTGCAAATGCTTAATTCATGTAAATTAAAATACTATTATTAAAATTCGAGAGCCCTAACCACTTAATCGAACGATCTCGAGAGTACTATATTTAGACGCAAGTCAGGCAGTGGTTATTCTCGCGAAAAGGTTCATCAAGTTACCTAGCTACTAGTGCTCGGGCAAGGAACTCTGATACCGTATATTTTACTAGCATTAAAGATGCGCTAAATGAGGTCATAGACTGCCAGGATGCACACATGTTACAACAGAACGTGAGACGAATTGAGTAACTCAAGGTTACTTGGAGGTTTCTGACTTAATTTAATGCCTTCATTATGTATCCACGTGTATTCTGCTACTGAGAAATTGTAGCATGAAGTATCTTTATCCCTAGCCAAAAACTCAGGTAACTCCAGAAACAATCCATTTTTAAAGTGTAAAAATATTACTTTAGTGTGATAGCAAGGAATACAAAACGGAAATCCTTCAAAAAGGATGTACATGTTGGCACCAGCATGTGTAATAAGTGTCTAATGTGTTAGATTTACATATATGTGAAAATAATTAGGAAGAAACAGGAGCATATGCTCAGCCACTTCCATAAATATTATTATATTATTATTGTTCAATTGGGTTCCTAGTGGAACATAGGACTTCAACTGCACGCCTCCACTTGCTTCTGTCTTCTGCTGTACTTTTCACTTGCATCCATGTTAATCCATACTGTTTCAGTTCCTCTTCACACGATCTCCTCCATGTCACACTCGGACGTCCCACTCGCCACTTCCATTTCGGGTTCCACTCGAGCTATGGCCTGATGCCCGATGTCACCCAGCGGAGGCCTCCTCAGCGAGTGTCCAATCCATCTCCACTTTCTCCTGCATATTTGTTGGACGATTGGTTCTTGTTTTGTTTGTTCCCATAGTTTCTTGTTGGTGATTCTTTCCGGCGATCTGATCTTGAGTATAGAGTGAAGACAGTTGTTGATAAAGATCTGCGACAGGCTGTTGGAAAGATTCTTTGTGACACACTGGCCAAGATTCTGATCAGTATAGTAGAACTGACTGACTTGACGTCTGTGTTGAAAATCCGAATTTTGTTGATCATATTGAGTGACGAAGATTTCCAGATTCGTTTCAGGTTGATGAATGTGTTTCTCGTCTTCCCGATTCTCGATTTGACACCCTCGTCCGTTTGTCCTGTAGTTGAGATAATGCTCCCTAGATAAGTAAGTGAATGAAGTAACCTCCTTCAAATCCCTCCCGTTGATGGTGATTGGCGCTGGATGTTACTGCTGCTGTTGTTGTTGTTGTTGTTGAATGGTTATTTTCATAACACCCGTCTTGACTATGTTCACCTGGAGTCCAGTCTTTGCTGCTTCTTCGACCAGTTTGTCGGTTTTCGCTTGTAAGTCTTCGATTTTGTGTAACATCAAACATAAATCATCCACGCGCGAAATCCAGGTCTTCTAGGTTCTTCATGTCGGTCCAGGATATCCCTGTCTTCTCGTTTCCCACTGTCTGACGCATAATCCAGTCCACCACAATTAGGAATATCGTTGGTGATAATAAGCACCCTTGTCTGACTCCTGTGTTTACTGCAAATGCCTCGCTGAGCTTTCCATTGTGGATCACTTGACATGTGCCGTTGTCGTACAGCTGTTGAATAAGGTTGATGAATATTTGGGGTACGCCATAGTACTCGAGTAGTTTCCAAATTACTTCGCGGTCAACGCTGTCGAAGGCCTTCTCAAAGTCTATGAAGTTGAGGTAGAGATTTGATTGCCATCCCATGCTTTGTTCGATGATGATGTGTAGAGTTGCAATTTGGTCAGAACATGATTTGCATTTCCTGAATCCAGCTTGTTCTGGTCGGAGTTCTGTATCCAGTGCGTCCTTTATTCTCTCCAGGATGATGCGCCTCAGGATTTTACTTGGCGTCGACAGGAGCATGATTCCTCGCCAGTTCTTGCAGAGTCCTAGGTCGCCCTTCTTTGGTAGTTTCACGAGGTAACCTTTCCTCCAGTCAGTAGGCACCTTTCCCTCCTTCCAGACCTTTTGCAACAATGGAGTCAGCATATTTGCTGTCGTCTCTGGGTCCGCTTTCAGTGCTTCAGGGGGTATTCCAGCTTTCAGAAGCTTGATTGCATTCAAGACTTCAGCTTTCGTTGGAGGATTGGTGTTGGTATTTCTGGACGGGTTGTAAGTGGTGGTCGGTTCAAGAGTCCCTTGAAGTGGTCCGCCCATTGTTTAATCTGTCTTTCTTCCTTGGTATTTGGGTTCCCTTGGCTGTCTTTTATAAGTTTCACTTGTGTTGATCTCTTCCCGGATAGAGACTTGGTTATCTGATATAATGTCCTCAGGTCCTTTTTGCCTGCTAAACGTGGCTGCTAAATCACACAGCAGTCACTTCTGAAAGGAAATGGATAAATACTGTTTGATGCTATGGGATAATAGTTGTCCGTCGAAGTTAACAACCAAAAATACTGATGCATTCTGAGGTTGCAGAGGATGTAAACAGCAGAGTTAGCAAACAGTTTAGTTCAGCGAGAATGGCGAGTACTGTTTTTTGTGTTCAGCCTTTGTGAAAAGTCCTTTTTTAGAGTTACCACGGTAGGCTTCCGCTTTTCATATATTACCAGAGGGAAGAGGACCAATGCACACACTTACTTCGCTCCAGCAAGTAAAACTTCCGGGGCCTTGCAGTCTCTAACTGTCAGTGGTGAAAATACTTCCTTCTCGCTGATAACCCTAAATTATTCATCAGAGCCTGTCAAGCGGCGTCACAAGTATGAGGACGTGTGTGGAATCATGAGATTTCATTCCTGAGTAAGCACAACTGCTCTTAAAAAGGTCAGTATTGGCCAAAATAGATACAGAATATAGGATTTGGGGTATAGCTTTGGACATTGTCAGCATTAGATTCGCTTCCCTTGGTGGCAGCCAACTTCCAAGGTGAAGGAATGGGGCTCTAGGAAACCAGTTCAGGCGAACCGAAGGGTAAGTTCATCCTGGTGACTAAAAGATCGCTTATTATTATTCCTTTGGGTTCCGAATTTAACATACGGCTTCAAAAACACATCTCCACTTTGTTCTATTTTCTGTCGTCCTCTTCAGCTGGGTTCAAGATTGGCCATAATCTCTAACCTCCTCTTCGCACCATCTCCTCCATTTTACCCTCGCACCGACGACCCACTCGTCGTTTCCCATTTTGATTCCGCCCAAGCGTTGCCCTAGAACACGATGTCACTCGAGGGTTTCCTCAGTGCATGCCCGATCCATCTCCATTTTTTCCCACATATTTCTTGACCGATCGGCCTTTAGTTGGCCTGTTATCAGAGTTTCTTGTTACTAATTATTTCTGGCCATTCGATCTCCAGTTCGGAGAGAAGGCAGCTGTTGATGAAAGTATGGGACCTGTTGAGAATCCTTTCCGTTACATTCCAAGTTTCTGACCCGTATAGAGGGATTGACTTGACATTAGTGTTGAAAATGCGAATCTTGTTTCTTGTACTGAGTGCAGTGCTGAAGATTTCCAAAATGGTTTCAGGTTGATGAATGTGTTTCTCGTCTTCCCGATTCTCGATTTGACACCCTCGTCCGTTTGTCCTGTAGTTGAGATAATGCTCCCTAGATAAGTAAGTGAATGAAGTAACCTCCTTCAAATCCCTCCCGTTGATGGTGATTGGCGCTGGATGTTACTGCTGCTGTTGTTGTTGTTGTTGTTGAATGGTTATTTTCATAACACCCGTCTTGA